TGTATGTATGTGTGTGTGTTTATATGGCTTGATCCAGCATGTGTGTCTGTCTGTATGAGTGTGTGTTTATATGGCCTGATCCAGCGTGTGTGTGTGTGTATGGCCTGATCCAGCGTGTGTGTCTGTTTGTATGTGTGTGTTTATATGGCCTGATTCAGCATGTGTGTATGTGTGTGTGTTTTATATGGCCTGATCAGCATGTGTGTGTGTTTTATATGGCCTGATCCAGCTTGTGTGTGTGTTTATATGTGCAGATCCAGCGTGTGTGTGTTTATATGGCCTGATCCAGCATGGATGTATGTGTGTGTTTATATGGCCTGATCCAGCATGGATGTATGTGTGTGTTTATTTGGCCTGATCCAGCATGTATGTGTGTGTTTATATGGCCTGATCCAGCATGTATGTATGTGTGTGTTTATATGGCCTGATTCAGTGTGTGTGTTTATATGGCCTGATTCAGTGTGTGTGTTTTATATGGCCTGATTCAGTGTGTGTGTTTTATATGGCCTGATTCAGTGTGTGTGTTTTATATGGCCTGATTCAGTGTGTGTGTTTATATGTCCTGATCCAGTGTGTGTGTGTATATGTGTGTGTTTATATGTCCTGATCCAGTGTGTGTGTATATGTGTGTGTTTATATGGCCTGATCATGCATGTGTCTGTGTGTGTGTGTTTATATGGCTTGATCCAGCATGTGTGTGTGTATGGCCTGATCCAGCTTGTGTGTCTGTTTGTATGTATGTGTGTGTTTCTATGTCCAGATCCAGTGTGTGTTTGTTTATATGGCCTGATTCAATGTGTATATGTGTGTGTTTATATGGCCTGATCATGCATGTGTGTCTGTTTGTATGTATGTGTGTGTGTTTATATGGCTTGATCCAGCATGTGTGTCTGTCTGTATGAGTGTGTGTTTATATGGCCTGATCCAGCGTGTGTGTGTGTGTATGGCCTGATCCAGCTTGTGTGTCTGTTTGTATGTGTGTGTTTATATGGCCTGATTCAGCATGTGTGTATGTGTGTGTGTGTTTATATGGCCTGATCCAGCATGTGTGTATGTGTGTGTGTGTTTATATGGCCTGATCCAGCATGTGTGTGTGTTTATATGGCCTGATCCAGCGTGTGTGTGTTTATATGGCCTGATCCAGCATGTATGTATGTGTGTGTTTATATGGCCTGATCCAGCATGTATGTATGTGTGTGTTTATATGGCCTGATCCAGCATTGATGTATGTGTGTGTTTATATGGCCTGATCCAGCATGGATGTATGTGTGTGTTTATATGGCCTGATCCAGCATGGATGTATGTGTGTGTTTATATGGCCTGATCCAGCATGGATGTATGTGTGTGTTTATTTGGCCTGATCCAGCATGTATGTGTGTGTTTATATGGCCTGATTCAGTGTGTGTGTTTATATGGCCTGATTCAGTGTGTGTGTTTATATGGCCTGATTCAGTGTGTGTGTTTATATGGCCTGATTCAGTGTGTGTGTTTTATATGGCCTGATTCAGTGTGTGTGTTTTATATGGCCTGATTCAGTGTGTGTGTTTTATATGGCCTGATTCAGTGTGTGTGTTTTATATGGCCTGATTCAGTGTGTGTGTTTTATATGGCCTGATTCAGTGTGTGTGTTTTATATGGCCTGATTCAGTGTGTGTGTTTTATATGGCCTGATTCAGTGTGGGTGTTTTATATGGCCTGATTCAGTGTGTGTGTTTTATATGGCCTGATTCAGTTTGTGTGTTTTATATGGCCTGATTCAGTGTGTGTGTTTTATATGGCCTGATTCAGTGTGTGTGTTTTATATGGCCTGATTCAGTGTGTGTGTTTTATATGGCCTGATTCAGTGTGTGTGTTTTATATGGCCTGATTCAGTGTGTGTGTTTTATATGGCCTGTTTCAGTGTGTGTGTTTTATATGGCCTGATTCAGTGTGTGTGTTTTATATGGCCTGATTCAGTGTGTGTGTTTTATATGGCCTGATTCAGTGTGTGTGTTTTATATGGCCTGATTCAGTGTGTGTGTTTTATATGGCCTGATTCAGTGTGTGTGTTTTATATGGCCTGATTCAGTGTGTGTGTTTTATATGGCCTGATTCAGTGTGTGTGTTTTATATGGCCTGATTCAGTGTGTGTGTTTTATATGGCCTGATTCAGTGTGTGTGTTTATATGGCCTGGTTCAGCGTGTGTGTTTTTATATGGCCTGGTTCAGCGTGTGTGTTTTTATATGGCCTGGTTCAGCGTGTGTGTTTTTATATGGCCTGGTTCAGCGTGTGTATGTTTGCACTGACATGAATGACTGGAGGTAGGTAGACTGTGTGTGTGTACTAACTTGTCCTGTATGGCAGGAGGTAGGCAGATCTGAGCACTGAGCTTTCACTGTGTCTTGCTGGGACTACAGTGCTGCTTGCGTGTGCTCACGTCTTCCCTGGATTATATGTTACGACCGTGCTGCTCGTAGTGCTCTCATTACACCAAATGTATCACATGTAAAGAGCACACTATAGCTGGTGGCTGAACAAAGTGTGTAAAATGGCTGGGCCTTGGCTGCATGCACTGTGGGCTGGAGTTCTGCTTGGTCTGCTGTGTGTTGCCCTATCATTGCTTTCTGTGTGAGTATTCTGGTTGCCATTCCAGCTAGTGGGAGTTACTTCTAAATTCTCCTCGTTCCTAGTTCTGTGTTTGACCATGCAACTTCTATCAACCATTGCTATTAACGATAAATCATAGAATATGTATCTACACACAGACTCTGGGCATGTGAAATGGTAAACAGATTATTTCAGCTATTTCCCGTGTGTTGGTTGTGCTTTTTGTTTTTTGCTTTTTTTTTATTTTATGAAGATGAAGCATGCATTTTTATTTTTTTACATTTCAGATATGTTCTATTTTATATTTCTAGAAACACTTCTGTTTCGGTGATAAAGAAGGCAATGTGCTTGTTGGTCGTCAGATCTAGACAGGCACAGTGCTATAGTTTCTTTTAACATGCTAGCATGACAGGAGTTATTGAGTTTTAATCAGAGGAACCCCTATTGACTTTGCCTTTGATATAGGAAGTTTAGCTTTATTAATGATTTGATCACATTGATTGCTTGTGAATCTGTGAAGAATTTTGTTAGAAAAGAAATAGGATTTATAACTTGCGATACTCAATGTAACTCTTGTATTTTGATTTAGTCATTTACCAGCATTATGTGTAGACTTTATTGTTAACATTTTTTTGAACTTAAAATTAAACACAAACCTTATAAATGTTTTTTACATTTTTTAAAGCTAGGCATATTTAAACAAATTTCATGTGTATGGTATGAGCTGTCATTTTGACTTTTTTTTATTTTTTTTGTTATGGTTTTTGAATAAGTTATGTTACAAATGCAGTGTAAACATAGTTGGTTTGACCTTCTAAATAAACTAGCGGAAATGTAGTTTAACCCTTTAAGGATTGATGCAATTGTTCTGAACCAAAACAAAACCTAGAATTTGAGCTATATGGCTCAATCGTAATGACCTATTTCATATTAAGTGCACCCACACGTATATCATTTTGTTCAGAAGAAATATGGCTTTTATTACACATCAAATATTTATATATTAAACATAATTTTATTTGAATAAAAACTAAAAAATGTAATTGTATTTTCTTTGTTCTGTGTGATATTTTAACTGTGAATGTGATAATACTGTTTGCTTTTACTGCAATAAAATGTGTTCAGCAATGTATCACGAGTACAACAGTACCCCGCATGTACAGGGGTTTTTGAAATGTAAATGGTCAAATATAGGGCTTGAAAATTAAGTTCTCTTGGCTTTCTGTCTGGGGATTCTGGCAGGTCTCTCAAATTGTAATTAATAAAATCACATAAATATGAAAAAAGATTACATACATCGACTATGATAATTTAAGAATATATCAGGGCTTAACAAATTTGTTTGGAATCTAGGAGCCAGCTAAAAAATGTTAGGAGCCGGTCATTTTCAACAAGAAAATGCAATTCTGAAAGGGACACTATAGTCATTAGAATCACTACAGCTTAATGTAGTTGTTCTGGGGTCTATAGCCTATTAATGCAGGCGTTTCCATGTAAACACTGTCTTTTCTGCGAAAAGGCAGAGTTTACATTTCTGCTTAGTAACACCTCTAGTAATAGTCACTCAGGCGGCCACTAGAGAGCCCTGGGTCACTGCTGCATAAGGAGGCGCTGAATGTTCCTCATAGAGATTAAATTATTTAACGTAGCTCTATGAGGAGATGCGGATTGGTACATTTACTGTGCATGCACAAAATCCTTCCAATGCTTTCCTAAGGGAAAGCATTGGCTTAGCTGAGATCATAAAGATTGATAATCTCAGCCGTGGCGAAACTGGCACGGCGTGGGAAAATGGGGGAAAAAGATGAGTAAAAACACCTTCTTTGTGCGATTGGAGGGTGCAGGTACTTAAACACACTCTCTCTCTCTCTGACAGGCACACACACACTCTCTCTCTCTCTCTGACAGGCTCTCGCTCTCTCACACACACACACACACACACACACTCTCTCTCTCTCTCTCTCTCTGACAGGCTCTCGCTCTCTCACACACACACTCTCTCTCTGACAGGCTCTCGCTCTCACACACACACACACACACTCTCTCTCTCTCTCTCTCTCTCTCTCTCTCTGACAGGCTCTCGCTCTCACACACACTCTCTCTCTCTCTCTCTCTCTGACAGGCTCTCTCTCACACGCTCTCGCTCTCTTACACACACTCTCTCGCTCTCTCACACACGCTCTCTTGCGCTCACATTTTAACCCCTTAAGGACACATGACATGTGTGACATGTCATGATTCCCTTTTATTCCAGAAGTTTGGTCCTTAAGGGGTTAAAGGGATCCAAAGATTGCAGCATTTGAAATGTGCTTAAAAGTTAAATGTACAAGAACATAACCACTACAGCAGGCTTTGATTATTGTGCTTTTCCCCCAATTGTAAGCAGACCAGCGTATTTTGAATGGTTTGAATTCTTACCTTGGGTTCCTTAGGTGAGCTTCCCCCCTCCACTTCTAATGCAGAGATAAGCTCAGAAGAGCTTACGGAAGCTTCTGCTTGGGTATTTCCAGTTCTCCGGTGTTGGTTTTGGAGGCGGGGAGGATTGCTGAGTGGGTCTCAGGTAAGAAGTCAAACTTTTAGAAAATGGTCTGACTATTTACATTAAAGGGACACTATAGTCATCCAGACCACTTCAGCTCAAAGAAGTGGTCTGGGTCCAATGTCGCTCAGGTTTTAACCCTTCACATGTAAACATAGCGTGCAGACCGTCCATAGGAAAGCATTGAGAAATGCTTTCCTATAGACAGTTTGAAGGAGCGCGTGCCACTTGCTGCGCATGCGCATTCGGCTCCACTCGGGAGCTGACATCGGAGGGGGAGGAGAGGTCACTGGCGCTGGATTAAGGTAAGTAACTGAAGGAGTTTTAACCCCTTAAGTGCCATAGGAGGGGGCCCTGAGGGTGAGGGTCCCCCAAGGATTATATAGTGTCAGGAAAAAGAGTTTGTTTTCTTGACACTATAGTGATCCTTTAAGGTCGATCAAGCACCATAATTACAGCAGTTTGCTGGAGTGTTTAACACTGCATCATGAATATTGGAATGGACAAGACTGTAGTTGGAGCGGCTCTGTTCGTCCCAAATGATTCACACAACATCCAACAATTCCTTGCCTGCGAGGTCAAGTTAAGAGTTGCAAGATGCCCTGTGCAGTTTTTTTTTTTTTAAACCACTGTGTTGATAACATAGCATCATAGGCTGGGAACAGGAGTATAAAATTTCCATTGAGGCACTTTTGCAGTAGAGGCAGCTTCATTGAGTCTTTACTTGTTCTTAAATAATGTGGCTGGTAGTTCCCTTGAGAGCTGGAGTGGGTCTTTTCACTGGGGTCTGGTGTGGCAAAATGTCATCTTCGTGCTCTTCCAGCACTGCTCCATCGTGTGCCATCTAGTGAAGTCATGGCTGGAGTGACATCATAACCCGGCTCCCAGCATCACCCCTGAGCACGCGAGGAATCTGGAAGAGTACAGATATCAGTGCTTCCTTGTTACCTGTCTTAATTCTCCAAACGGGACATGGACACAGAAACTCAGTCCATGTGTATAACTTGACCTTACATTTTCTGACCAACATTGCTAAGGTATACATGAGAGATAGATATTGCTGAATACACATGTTTTATCTTTATAAAAGGACACATCAGGTGTATGAAATTCATCACACAATTTTGTGTAAAATGCAACACTAATATATTTTTCTTTTTAAATTGGTAGAAAGTCCTGGTGTAATGGGCAATCTACAAAAACGTTAAATTCCACATGTGCAGTAGTACTGGTTGTCTACTTTTGCAAATGGTATAGCATTATGGGATTAATTCGCACTTGGGACTTTCTTATTCCTTTATCCATGTGATTTAACCTCAGTAAATAAATCTGTCACTACTTGACATGTTAACTCTTTTTTAAAATTTAGAATACCCGGTAGTGAGTTGGTGTAAATAACTTTCTCACTACTTGGTAAAAGTACAGCGCTAAATTTTGTGATATAATACAAGTTATACACTTACCCCTTACAATGCATACGGAGTATACATGTAAAATAAACAAAGTGAGAAATATATAGAGTAGTACAGTAACCAATGATAATTTGAAATTAGTGAGTAAAAGGAAAGCTCACATTTTTAAGAGCCTTTTATAGGGATATAGTCTTTATAGGGATATCCCTATAAAAGGCTCTTAAAAATGTGAGTTTTCCTTTTACTCACTAATTTCAAATTATCATTGGTTACTGTACTATACTACTCTGTATATTTCTCTCTTTGTTTATTTTACATGTATACCCTGTATGCATTGTTAGGGGTAAGTGTATAACTTGTATTATATATATCACAAAATTTAGCGCTGCACTTTTGCCAAGTAGTGAGAAAGTTATTTACACCAATTCACTACCGGTTATTCTATTTTTTTTCTCTTGGGTTTGTTGTATTATAGTGGTTGTCTGGAGTATCCACTAAGTGCATGTAGCAGCTAAACCAAATAATTTCACTTTATATCACAAAAAGCGCCATTTTTCTAGCCACATCCATTTCTGTATTTTTATTCTTTTTTAAATTTAACTTGTGTTAATCAATTAATAGGTACCCTAAATTGTTAGCAGAAAGGTTCCATAAGAATATCCGGTATTTTGACTATACAGCTAGGGATTACAAGAGTATATTCAGTTTATTAGGCAACAAGAAAAGCTATATGCCAGTTAGACGTACAGAATTATTGATATGATATCATAGTCTAATAATAATGATAGACGAACACAAATGAAAAAAAAAAAATATATATATTTTTTTTAAAGTATCCCCACTATGTCACCAGTAGAGCACCCTAAAAAAAGAATTAAAAATTAGCACAAAGTGTATCTATCACTTCCTGTGGCATGGACATCAAATAAACTGTCAGGAGAGCTCTAATATACATTTCAACAGTTATGTGACCATTCAAGGGGAGAGAGGTTGCAGAGCTTACACTCTATAAAAAAAAAAAAAGCACCCTTCCCTATGATGACCAGTGCAAACTGCACAAAAAAAATGAACAGATATTGACATGAAAAGTAGTAGGGGAAAATTCACTATTAAGTAGATATGCCATCAATGAATCCATGCATGTATTGGTTGGGGCAAGGCTCGACAAATCCCAGGTTGCCATTGCGACTAGGATTTCAGTTCTGGCACCTGGGATTTGTTGTTTCATTCAGCCCCTGAGGTGGTCAGCCTACTCATAAAGAGCATAGGTGGGCAGTGGGCCAGCCAGCTCATGAAATGCATGGGTGTGCAGTCGACTGTCTCAGGAAGAGCATTGGCGTGCGTCGGTCGGCCTGCTGAGGGAAAGCATGGGCACGGGCGGAAGAATCGTGGAGGATTGAGGCACGCATGCAAGAGAGCTGTAACCTCCTTGCTCGGCTCCCTTGCGCACCCTCCAGTGATTACCGGAGCTTTAATATGAAAGCATTGGGAGGCTATTGCACATGTGCAGCAAAACGCCACACTTCGGAATCCACCATCTCCTAATAGAGATGCATTGAATCAATACCTATCTAAGGGGAATGATCAGCGCCTCCACGCAGAGTGTGAAGACGCTGAACATCGGTGCTGCGCACTGTTCAGCACTGACCCAGGATGCAGCTCTAGAGGCTGTCTGAGTTACTAGGCAACAATGTAAATACTGTCTTTTCTCTGAAAAGGCAGGATTTACATTAAAAATTATGCAGGGACAGGCTATAGACACCAGAGCAACTACATTAAGCTGTAGTGGTTCTGGTGACTATAGTGTCCCTTTAAGAATTGTATTTTTGACACTGAAAAACCTGGCTCCTAATTTTTTTTTTGTTGGCTTCTAGATTTCAAGCAAATTAGTCAAGCCCTAGATTGGGGGCAATATCTGAAAAGACCTTGCAAAAGCTGTAGTTTTTCTGAGGTTGCAGCCTTTGCAAGCCCTCCTCTTTCTCACTGGAAGAGTCTTAACGGTCTCTTAATAAACCTTTCAGAGGCTTTTCATTGAGAAGTCTCTGAAGCTGTGTGTGGGAATGCATCTGATCTGAGGTCTTTGGACGCTGGTCTGAGTTGCCTGCCACTTCCATTGGCTTGGGAGAGCTTACAGAAAGAGTAAGCAAGCCTCCTTGTCTGATTGACAGGCATGGCAAATGGAAATTCGGCCATGAACTTATACTTCTTATGAGGATCTTCAGTTGTGATAGCTTTGCCCTCTCCTGTTTGCTCTTCTAGCCACATCTCTCCTGCGTGAGACTCACACAGCCTCCCTACGAAAGAGCTCACTTTTATTTAATTTTTTTTTAACCTTCCCCTATTGCTGTGTGTTTTTATCTATTGCTGTTAAAGGGGGACATTGTTGTCACCGGAAACCACTATAGTTTGAAAAAGATAAGTAAACTGCAAGGGGGCCGGTTACACTTTAGTGTTCCTTTAACGCTGTTACAGCGGTTTATGCTGTCCGCATATTACTGGGCTTTAATGTAGTTGCAGCAGCCCAGAATGCTGAAATGACTTTGAGACCCAGGAGGTCCGCGATACTCACCTCCGGCGATCCCTTTCTGGGGCACTACACCCCAAGCAAATTAGGCCACCGTGGGCCATGTGATGTATGTATATAAAAAAAAAATATTATATATATATTTTATATATATATATATATATATATATATATATATATATATATAAATAAATAAATATAAATAAAAGTGAGAGGCTGCACAAAATAAAAAAAGTACATGTAATTTCATTCTAATTATATTCATATCAAAATACATTTAGAATGCAAATATATATATTTTTAATATATATAAATAGTTACATATGAGTGTTTTGGAGCAGTAAAACTATAATGATTATTTGATGATGAGATCATCAGTGAAAGGATCTATGCGAATAAGTGGCTTCAAGAAAAGACTGGACATACCCCATTTTGAATACCCTGGGTTGTCTACTTTTTCAAATGGTATGCCATGATGGGGGTAATTTTCATGACTTGGCTAATATATGGGCTTCAAGGCAACATAACCAATCTGGCAAATTTCAATGTGTATAAACTGAAAAGGGGGCTGTGCTATATTTGATCTTGTAAGTTTCATAAACCCCTAAAACCTGCATTATATTGCAGTAAAAGCGAAAGGTATTATGACATTCACAGTTAAAATGCCACGCAGAACTGAGAAAATAAAGTTTATTCATTTCACACTTTTTTTTATTTTATTCATACAAAATTATGTTTTATATAAATATTTTATATGAAATGAAATCCCTGTTTCTTCTAAACAAAATGATTTATAATAATTGTGGGTGCACTTAATATGAAAGAAGTAAATAATGGTTGAACATGCATATAGTCAAATTCCAGGTTTTGTTTTGATCAAAATGTATACACTTGGCTCTGTCCTTAAGGGGTTAACTTTTTTAGGGAATCTAATGATGCCCTCAGCATTTTATATACCATTGTGTAATACATTACATGTATATTTTTAATACTTTGTATTTGAATGTGTCAGTGTCCTGTGATATCAGAATACCATCGGTACAGATAAGGTGCATATTGGACAGGTCACAATTTTGTAACATTTGTAGACATAAGAGAAAATGTGGGAGGTAGAGAATGAAAAAGAGGGAAAAGAAACAATGTCAGATAAATCTCAACACAAGTGTACAGTTAAATAGTCTAGATTTAAAGAAACACTATAGGTCAGGAACACAAACATTTTCCTGACCCTATCGTGTTAAAACCACAATCTAGTCTCGCTGGTCCCCACTTGCCCTCCTAAACATAGAAAAATCTTACCTTTATTGCAGTCTGCTGCTGCTGATTCTGTCCATGATCTGCCTGTTTGACTGACATCATCAGAAGTGTTGGTCAAAAGCCAAGCACAATGCTTTCATGGAAGGCTGTGCACGTCACATGCAGGGAGGTGTGACTAGGGTTCATAAACACAGGGATTTAACTCCTAAATGGCAGAGGATTGAGCAGTGAGGCTGCAGGGGCATGTTCTATACACCAAAACTGCTTCATTAAACTAAAGTTGTTCAAGTGACTATAGTGTCCCTTTAAAGTTAAAATTACAGAGCAAGAGATAAAATTGTTTAAGGTAAATTACATCTGATTGAAAGTGAAACCAGTTGTTTTTTTCTTGCAGGATGTGTCAATCAGAGCCAGGGGACATGTGGCAATCACTGCATAAACTGAAACAAAGTGATTTCACTCCTAAATGGCAGTGAATTGAGCAGTGAAACCTGAGAGGCATAATCTATACACTAAAACTGTTTCATTAAGTTGTTTAGGTGACTATAGTGTCCCTTTAATCTAGATTAGTAAACAGACTGAGGCACAACCAGAATTGGGGGAGTGATGAGGCACTGGATGTCTTTTTTTTTTTTTTTACAAGTGGTATTTTGTTTAAAACAATCTATGCATGGAATAATTTGTGTCCTGGTGTTTTATATTGACAAGTTAATCTAACTAAATGAAATGCTTTACTTTTTAGGACTGAAAGATAAACAGAAGTCTTCATGGATATAGTTGACACATTCAACCATTTAATTCCTACCGAACACTTAGATGATGCACTTTTTCTAGGTTCTAACCTAGAAAGTGAAGGTTGTGACGATTTTGCCACAAGCCAAAATGTCATAGAGGATTCATTGAAGAACATGCTTAGTGACAAGGATCCAATGCTAGGATCTGCAAGCACCCAATTCTGTTTACCGGTTTTGGATAGCACAGACCCTAATTTCCAGATATCCTCATCCACAGGTACAATGATAAGCCATAAGTACATATTGTTTTTAAAATGCTGCTTCAGTTGATATGCAAATAAACTATTTTCCAACTGTATTTACCACATAAATAATTTCTTTGTGAAGAATTAATTCTACGCATTGGTCAGGCGTCATGGCAAAGGAAGCTTTGATATCCTTGCAGCAGAAAATGCTTCTTCAAATTTCCATTATTTTATTGCATTAAATAGTGTTTTTCTGCATACTTGGTGAGTTTTACTCACTAAAGCACTTTAAAGAGGCACTGTCACACTGAGTTTGCATAAATATAAAAAAAACCAAAAAAACCTGTGCATAGATTAAGCTGAATTTTCAATAAAATTCCAAGGCACTTAGAGAATGTACATGAAACTGCAGAGATCATTTTGTATACAGTAGGAGTTAAATGTTGGCAAAATGTGGCAATTGAGCAGCCATTTGCAACTTGCAAATTTAATGCATGCTTTGCAAGGAGATAACATCAGAGTTTTGAATATAAAGACAAATAACATTGTAAATGTCATTAATGTGATTCTCCAACAAACGCAAATCTAGAGGAGAATTCTTTTTAAACAAAAAATGTTAATTATCAACAACTTAAATAAAATGCAAGATCCTCCAGTTTTGTGAAATATATATCCACATTTTGTGCTTTCACACATGTGCTTGAGTACATAAGTGACACAGATTCTGACAAATTAAGCTGCCAGGACCTTAAAGGACCACTATAGGCACCCAGACCACTTGGTCTGGGTGCCAGGTCCAGCTAGGTTTAACCCCTTTTTTTTTTTTTTTTTTTTATAAACCCTTAGAGCCTAATGTAGTGGTCACATGGCTTAGAAGTAGTAATAATGTTTACACTGAAACAGCTGTCCGTGGCTTGGCATCTCTTTTTTTTTTCTCAAGAAAAATCCATGTTTAAAATGGAATAATGAGCAAAAGCACCCGAAATCCATTGGGTAGTAACATCACTGCAAATTTGGGATTTCTGTGGGAAAATCAGTGCTTTCTTCCTTTAAGTTGGGTTCCTTTTTCATTGATGCATGAAAAAAAAAAAAAAAGATAAAACAGAACAGCCTATGATGTAGTATTTTTGTGAGGACAAACAACACTTGAAAAGTTTGTACTCATGTGCTATGGAGCTTCAGACAAACTCCAGTTTCAGTAGTGTGTAGTATTGTGCTCCCTACCAATAGGTATAGGTGCCTTGTTATATTATATTCATAATGGATATGCAATAGAGCAGGGGCGCCTGGGATTTGTGAGCCTGTTATTATTATTATTATTGCCATTTATATAACGCCAACAGATTCCGTAGCGCTTTACAATATTATAAGAGGGGGGATTTAACTATAAATAGGACAATTACAAGAAAACTTACAGGAACGATAGGTCAGCCCCTTAGGTGACCGGATGCCTGAGATTAGAGGCGGGCAGTCTGCTCACGCAGGGCTGAGGTGGGCAGGCAGGCGGACGATCGGCTTATTGGGAGCTAAAGGATGGAGGCGGCGATTGAATGAGCAAGGCGGCGAGGGAACTCTAATCTCCATGCTCTGCTTCCCAGCGCATCCTTCAGTGATATCAGGAGCCGGAATATGACGCCATTCCAGCTCCACATCACTAAACAGAGCTCTAGGGAGCAGAGCAGGGAGATGATAACACACCCCCAGGGAAAGCTGATCCACTCCATCTCTCCCAAAGGTAGGTAGGCTGGGTGGATTTTTTGGGGTGAGTATGTGTGTGTGTCAGTGAGTGTGTATGTTTACGTGACCTGCCCCCCTCCAATCACATGGAAAACATGTTTTTACTCCCCCCTTTTCACACGCAGTGCTGGTGATGCCGTGGCTGGCCCCACCTCCATGGCTGAGATCATTAATTGTGATGACCCCAGCCAATCCATTGCTTCCCCATAGAAAGAACAAGGAGACAATTGTGCATGCGTGGCAAAACAAAATGCTGCCCAGTCAACTTCTCCTCATAGAGATGCACTGAATCAATACATGCTCAAGGGGAGCATTAACATAGGTGCTGCACACTGTGCAGCACTAACCCAGGAAGCACTTATAGAGGCCGCCTGAGTGACTGTCGCTAGAGGTGTTGCCAGACAGCAATGTAAACCCTGTCTTTAGTCTGTAAAGTCAGTGCTTACATTAAAAAGCATGCAGACTTTAGAACAAGCATGTCAAACTCGGACCGCATGCGGCCCACAATGAATATCTTTGCGGCCCAGCTAGCCGCAAATTTGCCTTGCTTACTAAGGCAGAGTTGGCACCTGCTCCCAAAGGTAGAGGACAATAAATAAAATGATGTGCGTGTATGTGTGCAAGAACGTGTAAGTGCGTGTGTCTGTCAGTAAGTGTGTGTTGGTCAATATTGCGATGGCTGCGGCTGGACAGTGGAGGACCCGGAGGTGCACGGAGGCACTTAACGCCACGTCACATTCCGACGTGACGTCAACGTGCTCCACCTTCACAGGCAGGACTAAGGAGTTGCATATTCTGAACATCTTCCGTTCAGAATATCAAGCATAGGACAGTTCGATCCCTGCCTCATGGATATCTTATTGGGTTCAGTGTCTTCTGTGAATAGGTGGAATATATGAAAAAACACTACACCATATTGTTTCTCCTCTCGTATATTCCACCTATTTCTAATCTGTATTTTGTTCCTTTTCTTTCAAGGGAGTGAGAGATGAGGAACAATAACTGAGTGTGTTCTGGGTCTGCTGCTTATAGTTCTCAGTGGGTTGTGCGTATATATGTATTTATATATATCAACAGTTCTGGATTTTTGCTTGTCACATATTCCTTTGTCCACATGAGTGGTTTGTAGATTGTTTAACCTCCTCTATCCATAATTCCACTTTTCAGAAAAGATCATACATACCATGGCTGCTATCAACCTATTTGTAGCCATATTTACAGTTTTATGATCAAAGAGGTTTGAACAGATCTCCCAAGGTTATTGCAGTTCTTATATGTGGCTGTTGGGCTATTTGCAAATCTGGAGAGAGAAGGGAGAGATGTGTTTGGTGTATCAGCTCATTTTGTGCACACACTGTATTCAGTCTTTGAGCTGCTGAGATTGTTAGAAGTCACCATAGTTATCAGTCACTGTTTGTTGGAATTCTTTGATAATGGAACTTAATGTATCTAAGCATGCAATTAATAAAAGTTGTTTTGGTGTATAAGGTGATCCTTTATGGGCAAAAAGGTAACAATATAATTATTGCATATGTCAAAACTGCCCTGTTACCTACATATGTCTTTGCATGTTTTGCAAAGACCCCCAATGGTGACATCTCTCCTTGGCATGCAGTGGCATAGGATAAACAGAGGTGAGTTAAACTTACCTGAAGCTCTCCTTTGCTGGACTGTTTCTTTGCAATGCATCTTTTTTCAGCTGGTAGCGCTTCATCCACGATTGCCCACATCACTCTTTTGCACAGATGTTTATAGACACAACCATAGGATTTTCTATAGAGCAACTCGTGTGATGCAGTGGGAATTGACAAAACATGACCGTGGGACCTTTTGTCAAGTTTTGTCAACTTCAGGCTTAACCAAAACATAAACGAGCCTCTATTTTGTCTTCTTATATCTTTAGTTGGCATCGGAATTTAAGTGTAATTCCAACACAATCAATATGAGTTTTTCCACGAAGGTTGTATCTTATTAAAATATATGCGATGTTTATCGATGTGCTTTTAAAATCACTTCTCATTTACTCTAAAGCAGTTGAACTTGATACAATGTTGCTGACTGCAGATGCACATTACACTTCTCGCTGGGCTTTGAAGTGTTTGTTTTGCATGCTTATTACAGAACATAGTCATAGAACAATACTTTTCCTCTAAAGGTGTTGGTCTTGATGATATAATGGATGTGGCAGTTGTCAAAGATGCTGTTAGTGATCCCAATGATGAAGATGACCTTATTCCTTCTAACAAAAATGTTAACAGACTGCAAGATCCTTCCTTGAATTTACGGAAATCTTCACGGTTGATGGAGCAGGGTAAGACCTCTCAGTTCATGTCCAACATTTCTTAGTATGTAATAAAAATTTAAAAAAATAAAAATATGGAGAATTACTTAACAAAAACTAGCTCCGAAGTTTAGCCAGTATATTTATGTATTACATTTATTAGCTATGTCTTATTGTGAAATCGTGATTATCAGCAATAATTTTGTATAATATGTGGTCTATAAAATTAATGTAACCTACTATTATGATCTGAATCTTGATGAGCTTGATGACGATAGGCAATATATTTTCATGTGTGACATTAGCTGTCACGCTGATCCTTCATGCTTTCTCTAGTAACCAAGAAGCAAATGTTAAGGGGATACAACATTGCTCTTTTTAAAGATGGTGAATAACATTTTAGTTAAAGAGACACTATGCTCACCTGAACCACTTAAAGGGACACTATAGGCACCCAGACCACTGTCCCAGTTCCCTTAACCTTGCAATTGAAATAACTACAGTTATTGATAAACTGCAATAATTAAATTGCTGGGTTAATTCCACCTCTAGTGGCTGTCTTGCAAACAGACATGAGAGGCACTTCTGGATGGTTAGGCAAAGTTTGGTCCACTAAAGGATGCTGGACATCCTCAGGCTCTGCATTGGGACATCCAGCATTATCTAAAACCCCATACCCCATAGGAAATCATTGAGCACTTTTTTCTTATGGGGTAGTTTAATGCGAGCGCAGCACTCGCCACGCATGTGTATTAGGTTTCCTCTGCCCACTGCCATCGGTGGTGGTGGAGCCTGACCCAGTGCAGAGGGACATCAGCGCCGGAATCTGTAAAATGCCAGAAGAATTTTACGGTGGCATTGTAGATCACTAGGAAAACACCTCTATTTTTCTAGTGCTATAGGTTTCCTTTAATGTAGTGGTTATGGTGTCTAAAGCCTGTCCCTGGAGGCTGAGCACTGTAAACCCTGCCGTTTCAGAGAAAATACAGTGTTTACATTGCTGGCCAGTAACACCTCTAGTGGCAGTCACTCAAATGGCCACTAAAACTTACCTTTCTCTGAAACTGCTATGTTTATTAAAAAAATGGGTTAACCCTAGCTGGACCTGGCACCCAGACCACTTCATTAAGCTGAAGTGGTCTGGGTGCCTAGAGTGTTCCTTTAAGGGGTTAAGCACAGCCTTCTAATATCTGTGCTGATCGGCACAGGCTGAATTGACTGACAGAAGGGTGAAAGGCTGTTTTTAATCAGATTTTAAAGAAATCTAGATATTTGTTAGCAATGTTTAGATTAAATTTGCTTCTCTCTCATTTAAGATTAAATTGTATATGTCATGACAGGTACACTTGAAATTGTAATATGTGTTTTTATTTATTTTTTTAGAACCTGCAAGAAGTCTAAGACAGAGTACTGTTGAAAAACATTTAAACAGTGTACAGACAAGTCCTAAAAAATCTAGGTCTTCCAGAAAGGATATTTCTGTGGAACAGGTAAAAGACAAAGATGATATTTTGCTCCCTGAGGAAAAAAGGCGCCGGAGAACCAGTCAGTTGGAGCAACTAAGCACTTCCCCTACAAATTCCAGGAGGTCACCAAGAATAGCAAACAGAGAATTAAAGGATAAAATGAGCAAAGAGGAGAAAATTGCTCAAAAGTCTGTTGCTGGTGAATCTTCTGATGGAATCGGGATTGATATTTTACCCAACACACCATGTGTTCTGCAAGCCAAGGTTGACCAGTCTGAAACTTTGCAAGGGGACCCAGTTACTTTATCAAATGAAAATAGTATTGAAGTCCTTGGTGCAGTCACAGAGCATAACTTAAGTAACTCACAAGAGAATCGCACCACAGATTTAGTACAAAAAAGTCCCACAGAAGAAAAGGTATTTGATCAAGATATGTATACTTCTGCAGAAAAAAAATCTGATGTGATCTATGATAAGGTACACAAAGAGCTTGCTTTGTTGTCTGGGGTTGTTGAATGTAATCTTAGTGTTAACACACTTGTACAATCCACCATTAAAAGTGAGTGTTCATTGGGAAATATTGATGCTTGCACCAATCCAAATGAATCTAAAAATGAAGCTATGTTAAAAAGTTCTGATCTTGCAAGTACAGGCATTGGACAGATGTCTAGTGCGAATTCTATAGTTTTAGAAAGTGATGTTAACCGTCTCCAAGAAACACAGGCAAGTGAGTTAAAAGATCATGTTGTAGAGCAAGAATCTTTGCAAATTCATGATGGATCCAGCAAACAAAATCGCAATAGGAAAAGCTCAAAAAGGCTCAAGTCCAATCCATTAAAAACTCAACAGTCTTCAACGTCCTGTACTAATAAAAAAACTGTTGCAGCAAGATATGGTACCCTTAAAAAGAAGAAAACTTCTGCGTTTAACCTTGTTGAGTCAGAAGTCCAAGCCATTATGCATGCAAAACCACAAGGAAAACAAAGAATTATCAAAGTAAGGAAACAAATAGCAGACAGTACAAAGGATGATAGCTTAATGTCAGGGAATAAAATAATAAAAAAGAAAACCCATTCAGGAGAAAAAAGAACTCCTCATTTACAGACACTTACTCAAACACCATTGAAAAAACAAATACTAGATGATACATCAAAAGATAATCAAGGAAGTTCAAAAGAAACTTGTTCACGCAGAAGAAGCTCATCTCATTCTAGTGAAAAATCAGTTACAAAGCATCAGTCACCTGTATATAACAAGGTGAGCAATGAAGGAAAAGATATTGGTGACCATAAAGCAAAGGATATTATTGAGCATAAGGAGGCAATGGATTTTGTGGATGATAAAATTAAATTGAAAAAGTCACTTCCACCTCGACAAAGAAGAAGCAGTAAAAGTATTTCTGTTGATGAGCCACCATTGTTTATTCCTGATAATATACCTAACGTAAAAAGGGATTTGGCTGAGCTTCCTTCTCCCAGTGAGAAGCATGCATGGAACCCCATCAGACATTGCAGCTCTTGTAGAAAACTTCATGGAAACAGGTACATTTCTTTTTATTGCTTGTTTAGTTTTATAATTGACAGTGATGAAAATAGTAAAAACTTTGAATACCAAAGGAGTGTTGAAGAAAGACTACGTTTTAAAATTAGATTTTGTTATTGTTGGCAACATTGAATGTGGTCCACTATCTTTTTAAGTGAGATATCTGTGGCTTTAAATCATGCTGTTTCTTTGTTAGACAGATGTTATCTTGCGAAACAGTATCTTTCGCTGCAGTTGCTAGAAAGGCCACATGGGGAGAGGGCCTGCAAAATAACGGTGGCAGCTGATCCATCTCATACCCCCACCCATGGGCATCAGATGGGGTTTTAAATAAAATAGTAGGGGTGGAAATGATCTGACCCATGGCCAGCGAGTGGGGCTTTTTCAAAAACTAAAAATGAGGGTACCACCCTAATTGCCCCCAAGCCCCCACACATGGGTGTCGGAGTGCGGCTATTTATTTAATAACTGGGGCAGTTAGGAAACTCCTCCACGCATGGATGACAGCTAGAGACTAATCATTTCATAACTGGGGGTGACCCCTGCAATAGGAGGATAAGTCTCTGCTTTCAGGCAGTCCTCCATCTACTGAGCTTTCAGGCAGTCCTCCATCTACTAAATAATGTCAAATAAGAACACATAATTATTGCTCCATTTATTTTTAATTTATGTGCAAGCCCAATATTTAACGCTGTAACTTTTCAAAACACCTTAAAACCTGTACCCTGGGGTGTCTAATTTTTCAAATGGTATGTCATGATAGGGGTAATTGTCATTTCTGGGCTTCCATATGGTATCAAAAGGCACCATAACCAATCTGGCAAATTTCTATGTGTAAAAACTGCAAAGGATAAATCCCTATATCTTTACAGTTTCTAAAACCCAATAAAACCTGTACAAAGTGGGTACTGTTGTACTCGTAAAACATCGCTGAACACAAATATGTGTATTTTGTTGCAGTAAAAGCTAAGTATTATGACATTCACAGTTAAATTTCTGAGGGTTTTTTTCAGAACATGTCCTAAAGGGGATAATACATTAACCATGTCAAGTGTAAACAAAAAAAACCAATCACATAACCTAATTGCTCACTGAATATATATGAAAAGATAATCCCATCCAGTGGAAGCTGACGGTTATAAAAATAAAGGTATTTTATTAGTATAGTGTCAAGTTGGCCAGGCATAGCTGAATTTAATTTTAAAAAGCATTGCATTTTCTTACTTGGAGGATTAAAAAAAACAAAACAAATATATATATATATATCTGCACATATGTGGTGAATTCTCAAAGAGCAACATCCAAATATCTTTAAATCTTGCGTTTTAATGTAGTGACTTTGGTACTTAGATGGCTTCCCTTTTCTCTGGCAATCCAAAGCATGATTTTGTGAAATAATATTTACATTTGTGAGAGAATATGCCTTTAGTCCCTGTCAGACAAACAACCAATAGAGACACTTCCACCTTAGATTTTCAATGGAAGTGAAGCAATTGCCGCACGTGTGCTGTAGGTCTTCAGTATTCCTCTGTGAGGAGTATTGGATTTGACGGTAATCCTCCATGATGAATGCAGGCTAGAGGTTTAGAATGTAAAATAGTTTGTGTTTGACTCTGGATGTTTAGAAGTTGCTTTGTTTTTGTGCAAATTATGGACAGAAATGCATCTTTATAGAATTTATTGTAATAAGCAGCTACTTTTGATATTCATTTTATATATATATATATATATATATATATATAAAACAGAGCCGGTGTTGCACCTGTTATGTATGTTAGATTGTCTGATACTAGCAACATGCACCATGACAAGAAAACATTCTGTTGCTGCATTGTAAGAAACAAAAACTTGCTGTGGACAAAAATGTAATTTCATTAAACTAAAAAAGGAAATGCTACTTCTATTTTCAAGGATTGATTTACTTTATAAATCCCCCGAAGTATCACTATGAGATGATTCATTTTTTTGTAGATATTTACAGTGGTTTTTGTGTGTGACACGTCAACCCTTCAATCGGAAAATGCAGTTTTTGTATTGAATGTTTGCACATATCTTCTACTTACCCCTTAAGGACGCATGACAGAAATATTCCGCCATGCTTATTCTTCACTTAAGGACATATGTCGGATATTTCCAGTCATGCTGTATTTTTCCAGCATTGACTATTCGCCTGTTGGTAACTAAGAACCACAAATATCATTTAATTCCTGGGGCCAGAATAAGAGACCATACGCAGGCCAATGCTATGTTTGCTGCAGTGAATCCAGCAAACAGGCATTAAAATGGGACTCAAATCTCCCAAAAACATTTTACAACAATGTTTGACATAAGCTGGTGAAACAATGTCATCTTGTTAAGGCACAATATAAACTGTGTGAGATACTCTTCAGGGTCTACTTTCACAAATGGTAGACCTTTGCGGGGTAGTTGGTGCAATAAATGATAAAGATACAAAAAAAATTGTTAAACACACACAGCAAAACAATTTAACATTGCTTGTGTCCTTAAGTGCAAGACAAGATTCTGAATCTGTGTCCTGAAAGGGTGAAATCTAAGGTGCATTGTGTATTTACAGGTTCATGGTCGGTTGTGGAAGGTGTGATGACTGGTTTCATGGAGAATGTGTTGGTTTAAGTCTTCCTCAAGCACAACAAATGGAAGCTGAAGATCGGGAATACATATGTATGAAGTGCTGTGCTGAAGAAGAAAAAATGGAAGTTGATGCTTCAATAGATGTTACTGTCAGTCACCAAAAAATAGATGTTCATCAAGATATCCAAGTAGAGGAATCAGAAAAGTCAATCACAAAATCCTTGCCATCTGACAATTCAAGCCAACGTCATGAAAAACCCAAACATGCTGATGATACAACAAAGCATAAAGTAAAAATTTCTAAAAAGGTACAATTATTTGTTATTTACATGCTTTTATTGTTTATCCTAGGTGGCATATGTCTTTCAAATCCTAAAATATTAATTGGTTTGTTCAATTTAATTGAAATCTGTTAAATTAAAGCTTACACGTTGTCAATGGAAATGGCATTACATTTCCTCAGATCTACACTGTTCTGCTCATCCTAATGTGTAAAATTAGATTGGTTATTGAATTTAACCCTTAGGAATAGACAATTGTCTTTGCTGTTTTAAAAGAACACTCCAAGCCCCATAACCACTATAGAGCTCTGTCTATAGTGGTTATGACACCAGGTGTGTCCTAGTGCTCACCCCTTCTATTGTAAGTAGCCAAATTGTTTTAGAATTTTTGTTTGACTTCTTAAATGGGGTCTATTGGGTGCCACTTCCACCCATAACTAATGCCAGAGAGCTGGAAGCTCCTAAGCAAATCAGCTGACTGCCTCAGCCAATGAGCTTAAAACTGCACTACAGGCCTTCGCTCAGGAGTGCTAATGAAATCTTGGTCAAAAACATTTTGACCACTTAGAATAGGAGTTAAAGGGACATTGTAGGCACCCAGACCACTTCAGCTCATTGAAGTGGTCTGAGTGCCAACTCCCATCACTCTTAACCCTGCAGTGGTAGTTATTGCAGTTTTTATAAACTGATTATAAACTGCGATAATTACCTCTGAGGGTTAATTCGTCCTTTAGTGGCTGTCTACCAGACAGCCACTAGAGGGACTTCCGGTTGAAACATACTTTTGGTCCGCTCTGCATGAGGACCTTCCGCGTCAGATTTTCAGATTGAATAATGCTTTCCTATGGGGAGATCCTAATGCGAGTGCGGAAAATGCAGCGCGTGCGCATTAGGTCTCCCCTGCAGACGGGGCAGGAGCGTGGGCGGACCTGAGCCAGCGCCGAGGGACATCTGCGCAGGACCCAGGTAAATATTAATCTCTTTAGTGTCGCAGGAGGGGGCCTTGACAGAGGGGAAAATGTATAGTGCCAGGAAAATGAATTTGTTTTCCTGGCATTATAGAATCCTTTTAAACCTGGCACCATAACCACCACAGCAGGCTACACTATAGTTAACCAATTTGACCACTGTGCTGTTAAAACTACAAGTAGGGATGAACCAAAATGAAAATTCTGGGCCAAAACCGAAAATTCAGGATGCCCTTGGCAGAAAACCGAAACCGAAAATGACTTTTTTCCCCAAATGATTTAAACAAAGTTTTTTTTTTTTCCTATAATTTTATTAATATTAGACTTTTTAATGAATTTAATTAATCTAATATGAAAAACTTCCCTTCACCCTTCTCTTTTAGTGGTCTCCCCTCTAGTGTTCCTCTCACCTCCCTCTTTTTTTAGTGTTCCCCCCGTCCCCCCCCAATTTTTTTTTTAATTTTGGCAAAATTGGCCGAAACGGGATAGGCCCATTTTTGCCAGAAAATTTCGGCAGCAGAAATTTTGGAGCATCTCTAACTATAAGTGATGCAATAGTAGTAATCGCACCAACTCGTTCACCAAAATGGCTACCTTGCCTCTAAATGAAATTGGGGGAGGGCATTGATTTAATGCTGTCCTATAGGGAGGTTTAATGCGCGCATGGCATTAGCTGCACATGTGCATAAGAGCCCGCTGGATGGATATCGGGTATAAGGTACGGAAATAATGGGTTTTTAACCCTTTATTCACTGGGGAGGAGGAGGAATACAGCTTTGTATTCCTGGCACTATAGTTTCCCTTTAAGATTGAAAAAAAAATGAAAAAAAGCATTTCTGATTTCAGGTCAGTCTGTTAACGGTATCTTTATTATGTACAGACTGCATGTAATTTACCCTACCTATGTTGATTGTAGGCTGTTATAAATTACATTTATCTTTTCTTTAGGATTCAGGCGATGGGAAGCACTCACTGGACCGCAGGGATTCACAAGTTAAGACTAAATCTATGGCACTGGACCATAAACACTTGCCGTCTGCAACATCATCCCAACGAGCATCTGAGGAAAAACGTGAAAAGCCCTCTAAAGATCTAAATGTTCAGTGTCCCGAAGAGAGAACCTCAAAATTTGGTAATAATATGTGATCTCCAGTTATGTAAGCGCTATATATATATATATATATATATATCTCTCACTGGGCCTGTCTAAAGGGACTGCATTGTGCCAGGAAAACAAAGCAATTTTCCTGGCACTATAGGTTCCAAAAGTGCCCCCCTCCCTCGCACCCCACTCCTGCAGCACTGATGGAGGTAAAACCCCTTCAGTCACTTACCTGAATCCAGCGCCGATGTCCCTCAGTGCTGCGTCAGGCTCCGCCCATGCTTCTCCAGGGGTGTCAACTGGTGAGGGAGACTTAATGCGCATGCGCGGCAATGGCCGCTCAATCATTAGGATTTCCCCATAGGAAAGCATTAATCAGTGCTTTCCTATGGGGATTCCAGTGATTCTGGAAGTCCTCATGCATAGCGTGAGGACGTCCAGCTTCATTTAGGCTACCAAAAGTCATCTAAGCACCCGGAATTTCCTTTAGTGGCTGTCTGGTAGACAGCCACTAGTAGAGGAGTTAATCCTAGCAGGTAATTAATCTCAGAAACTGCAAAATTTACCACTGTTGGGCTAAGGGACATGGGAAATTGCATCCAGACCACTTGAATAAGCTGAAGTGGTCTAGATGCCTATGGTGTCCCTTTAATAAGAGAAAGCTGGGAACCCCTTAATTATATGCTGGGGAGTGACCTAGTGTCTTCCCCCGGCACACACTCATAGGCGGCAAGTGTGAGCCTTAATTATAATATTTTAAGGAAACCTAGTGTCCTGCTTTCAGCCCTCATTTGCTGCCCGCGTGTTATAATCCAAGGAAAATTCAATAAAATTCCCACAGCAATCCTCAAGAGAAGTGAACCTTTACTGTCAGAGCAATCTGTTACAAGCCATCCAATAAGAGCTCTATAATTCAGAGCATGGGAAAACCATTATTTGGCTTTATCAGGGGCTCACTTGAATCTGTTTTTTTTTTTTTTAATTCTTTATTTTTGTGTGCATAGAAATAACATCGTTGCAAACATAGCCACAACAGCAATTGCTCACAGTTTTATCAGACATTTAAGAACAACCGTGGCATTTAATAACATTGCACTTTTTATAATGCATTTAACTTTGTAAGCAACAGTAGTGGTAACATCTCTGTGCCCTCTGTGGTTATGAGTAGCAGTCTATGTATCTGCCCTAGAGAGTTTTGCCCCAAACTGATATTCCATGTGGGTGTATTAGCATGGTCCTTGTGTGACAGCCAGCGGGGGTTGAATCTGTTTTTTTTTCTCATTTGGAGTGTTTTTTATTTTTCAATGTCTTTTTTTTATAAATATGTATATGTGACCTAGTTTGCTTTTCTTAAATTGCCCTGACCTGTTAGCCACTCTCCACCCCCCAATTTATTTTAAAGTCCCCGGCCTAATACCCACGAATATGTCCCCCTGGTCTACCTAACATCTGGCAAAAAACGCTTCTATTGATAAGGGTAGCTGCAGAAATACAGAGTGAAGTCTGAAACGTAGCGCGTTGCATGTCAAGTTGGGAACTACAGAATAGATATGGAAACATGATTTTTCTAGTTTCTGTGCATAAGGGAGGCTTTTAAAAGTCCAACTTGAGATATGCAGGTAATGCAAAACAGTAACTTTTCCAATTGCATTGTGGGGAGTTTTATTGTGCTTGGCCTGTTATATACATTTCTGTGTGCCTATTTTGCCACAAGAAATTGTGATATTTCCTATTGTTGCACTGCCTCTAATCTTAAGGAATATAAAGTAAAAATGTTGTTTTTCTATATATATGTATATATATTTTAGTTAATGTTTTTTGTAGGTATCCATGAAAAGCAAGAAATTAAGAAGAAAAAGCAAGAGAAAAAAGGGCTATCCTCACAGAGTTCACACAGTTCAACTCCTTCTACTCCAAAGCCATCTGTTGACCAGATTCGACAAAGTGTTCGCCAATCCCTAAAGGATATTTTCGTTAAAAGGCATGTGTGATTAACAAAATAAGTACTTATTTTTAGGATATACATTTTTTTCTGATCAGTCTAGGTCACTCAGTTTAAAGGCCCTCTGTAAAGCACCATGACACTACAGCTCATTGCCATGGATATGATGCAAAGCGTCTTTGGGTGCATCCTCCTGGATTGTGTCAAACTGTTTTTGAGTTGTTTCACTTATTATGGGGCTTTCTATTCACGTGGCTTAGTGAGTGCAGAAATTAATGAAAGAATGAAAAACTCTGATTGTGTAGTATATCAATTATTAGAATTATTAGTAAAAAACACAGTATTCTACTCACAATTTTTAGAGCAAGAACTTGCTGTGGTGTTTAACAGCTTTGGTGGTATTAATCCCAACTTGGTATATGCAGGTACCTGGAACGGAGTCAGCAGCATGAAGTTATTTCATAAATATATGAAATAATTAACTTTATTAAGTATAATAAATATATATATATATATATATATATATATATATGTATATTGTATATATAACACAACATTCAAGATCCAGCGCACTCACGCATCCACTAAACAGCAACTTCAAAGCTCACAGATTTTATTAGTTTTTTTAAAAACACCTAATCTAGACAAAAATAATGGGAGTTTAGTTACAGTATATGATCATACATTGCATAAGCCCACCACAACGTGAATGCACTCCCTCTTTGGCAGGTCCTAATACTAAATAGGGGGCAGTAGTGTACGCTTTACGTGTTTCTCCCAGCAGGGCTTCATCAGAAGTGTTTCTTTTTACATATTATATGTGCAGTAACCGATATACACATGTATATGCAGCCACGCAATCACTGCATGTAGTCGCATATATACACTTGCTCATACATTACATATGTGTGATGAGCACACACTTTTATTAATAATTTTTATTTATTCAAACTTGTCTTGGTTAGCAAACTGGATAATTATATTACTGCACCTCAACTCATTTCCCATATCCAGTCTAATCACATTGTCTTCCAGCCCTTTTCCCGATTTTCTTTATATCATATATAATCCCACCTCTTAGCTTTATTTTGCTTTAAAATAATTTCACCTCTTCAATTAATGCTCTTTTCTAGCCTCGATATTATTACAGTTTGAAACCTTATTCCTGGTACAATATCACGACTCCTAACGATGTTATGCCCTCCTTGTACTACTGATGGCTCATTTTCTTTAAAAAAAATAAGCTTAATGGAAATTATATTAAGCATATGCTATTACCCATTGCTAGAATATTACTTGCATGGAAGGTTATTGTGTGTTATTTCCCACTCTGCTTAGACAATATAAAAGGCTGGGTTTCACAAATAGAATATTTCACCAACCTTTGCAGGGCAAGGTTAGCCATTACCGATGCTCAAAGCTGGCTAAACATTGGTGCAAATGGATTTTCTGAATGTCTGAAATGTAAATGGCGTCTCATTTTGCCTTGTACAAGTCTGAGTATTGCCTTGGTTGAGCACAATGGGCAGTACAATTCACAAACATCAACATATTGAGGCCCTGCAACTTTAATTTCAGTTATATTAAATGCTATTTTCCCAACAGATCTCAGCCATACCTTAGGTTGTTTGACCATCGCGTCTAATATAGTTTACAGATAACTGCAGAGTAAATCTAGCCATCACTAGGATTGCTATTGTTGCAAAATTTCCTACACTGCTCAATCAAAAGATGCCAGCACACTCTTGAAAACACTTCACATACTTTACACTTAACATGCAAAGAAAGATATATAACTGTGTTGAATGGTGATAATAGCCCACAACAGTTAAAATAGTGGATAACTAAGATGAATTAAAAGGATAAATATATACCCCTTATCGTTGTTGGGGTAACTCAACTATAGAGGTAAAAAAAAAAAATTATATATATATATATATATATATATATATATATATATATATATATAGTAATACAGTTTAAAATTGAGAAAATGGGGGAATGGGTGAGGTAATTCACTAATAAATGGGCTATATTTAAGGTGAGCAGTTCTACTATTATATTTTGTGTGTCTTTAATCAAGATCTGCTACACTATATACTACGCCATTATAAATTTCTGAAGCTTGTTCTTGATACATCATAGAAGAGATTTGGAGTCACCTCAGCACAGATCTGCGTTTGTGATTTGAGTCCATCCCTTTGTGACTCTAATGTACATGAGCATATTTAACTCAACCATTTCACCATTTTCTCAGTTTTAAACTGTACTAAGCTATATTTATCTTTTTATTTAAAAAATGGAGGAAGCCCACATGAGCCCAGTTTGTTAGTTGAACAGCACTGTTCTACCTTGTTAACACAAAACAGTTTATGCTTATGTTTAAATATGACTATTTCTAAAACTTTTTTTTCACATTATTATTAGACTTTCAGAATCGAGTTCTAAGATTCCTGAAGAAAGAGCTACAAAAGTTTCAGTCAAGATAGAAAAAGAGCTATTTTCCTTTTACCGAGATACAGATGCAAAATACAAGAACAAGTACCGGAGTTTAATGTTCAACCTTAAAGATCCTAAAAACAATGTAAGTGAATTATGTCATAAAAGTAAATTTTATTAACTCCACGCATGACTTTCCCTCCAGACTAGACTTTGCTAAACTTTTTTTTAAGCAGCACAGCTAACCCCCTGCCGTCCATTTTATGCTAAGTTTTCTAAGGGCAGACCAAAGGCAGAATATACATAGTTTGCAAAAATGAGCAAAAGTTTGCTTCAGCAAGGACCTTCAGCACATCCAGAAATATTGTAGTCTGATTTAATTTTTGTTATTACAGGTTTTGTTCAAACGAGTGTTGAAAGGAGAAATCACTCCTGATCATCTGATTAAAATGAGTCCAGAAGAGTTGGCATCCAGAGAATTAGCAGCTTGGAGGCAGAGAGAGAACCGACATGTAAAGTATTGTACTACTTATGATTTAAATTGATTGTTTTAACTTTTTTGAAAAAAAAAAAGTTTAAACACATTCTCGGTTTATTTATATGTATGTGTTTTGAAGGAGCGAGTGTTAAAAAAAAAAAAAAATAAAAGTTGCTATCATAAGCGATCATAATAAGTTCTAGTGTAAAGTCTACCTCTGGCATATTTATTGTTGCACTCAGAAGCTCATTTCAAAGTAGCAACTCCGACAAAGATGTATATATTTATTCCTCATCTAAATGCCATTCCATGAGATTTAAAGGTTCACATGTAGTCTGTATAGATGAAGCAAAGGCAGACCGCACCAGCAGTGCAGAATACAAAGGAGTTTTAATATGGTTGTCAAAAACTCAACCAAGTATTTTTGTTCAGTTTTTGTACTGCTGTATATTAATTTTAAAGAAAATGCATGTTACAGTTATACAAGCAACTGTTTACACTTTCCTATTTTTTATTTTAGAATGCATGGGATAACAAACTAACTTTTTATGCGTAAGCAAACCATTTTATTAAACGTTTGAAAATTTCATAATTTTGTATATTGTTTTTACATTTATAGACCATAGAAATGATTGAGAAAGAACAGCGTGAAGTTGAGCGAAGGCCAATCACCAAGATTACTCACAAAGGGGAAATTGAAATTGAGAGTGATGCTCCGCTGAAAGAACCAGAATCCATGGACACTGAGGTGACTTCAAAAGTGACTTAAAGGGACACTCCACCTCCCAAATAAAAATATATATATTAAAATAAAAATCAATGCTTAGTAGATACACTGCCAATGAAAACATACATGCATTTAATTATGCATTTTTTTTATTAGAAGGATGTCTAAAAACAGCTTGCAAAAGAACTCTTGTCTGTAGTCTTTGTGAGCCCTCCCCTTGTTCTCTAGCCCAGACTTTCTGTGATTGTCCAAATACAGACTTTCCAATGTGGCTCAATTAGAAGTCTTTGCAAGGTAGGTGGTCTGGGCAATTGCCAGCTACCTGAGTTAAGCTTTGTTGAGCTAAGCAACCAGGAGATAACATGACTGGTTGTCTGACTTACAGCTGGGAAGATCTAACAAGGTCTACCAGACAGCCACTAGAGGGCTTCCAGAGTCGAAACGGACCTCTGGTCCGTTATCTGACGCTGGACATCCTCACGCTCTGCATGAGGACATCCTGCATCAGATTTTTCCCTATAGGAAAACATTGATTCATGCTCGTCGCAGGATGTCAGAGGGGGTGGAGCGTTGGACCAGTGCCAAGCGACAACAGCGCTGTAATCAGGTGAGTTAATCGGGTAACCCTTTATTTACCTGGGCGGTGGGTGCGAGAGAGTAGGGAGGCAGAGGGAGCTATAGTGCCTGGAATGCAATATGACCCTGCCCATTGTCCACGCCTCTCCCTTTGACAAAAATGTCTTCCTAAATGGAAAGTAAATGATATAGGCCAGCCAATGAGAAATCTGTGTATACTGAGCTGCTGACATGAATCAACTCCACGGACAATCACTGTCTTTCTTTTTTCTATATAGCAGTTCTAAGGGGCTGATCATAAAAGGACAGTAGTTGTGGGGCATAATCATGTTGGCAACTAGACTCATACAGACATTTTATTAAAAGAACTAAGTAAGTAAGTACTCTGAGTATGTCTTATAATGAAGTCGTTTTGCAAAAACCTGGAGACATGGCTTTCTGATTAAACTGCAGAAACCTGTAAAGTGGTGTATTGTATGTTCTATAAATAAATCTTCATTATTGTTCATAATTAATTAACATTTGTACTGTAATCAAGTTTTGGGGATTTGTTTCTGTTTTATTTAATTTCTAGGAAACCATTGTTAAACCAGTGGAAAAGGAAGAGGAGATTCAAAAAGAAAAAGATGTGACTCCTGAGTCAACATCCGATACTACAGGACAACATAAAAACCACCTATTTGATTTAAATTGTAAAATATGCACAGGTATGTGTAATACTCTGTCTCTTTATGTACAGCTTAACCTAAAACATCAAGTTAAGCAAAATACGTTTCCAGCTAAAGTGAAAGACTTTTGAAATGTTCCTCTAAGGTCTTTGGGCAGAGTGGTAGCAGTTTCACTAGAGTATAATTTTATAAACAGGAGCAAGGTACTTTTTATTAAGTCAAAATAAAAGCACAATAAAGTAGTATTCTAAAATACCAAACCAAAGAGTCAAGGGATGCAATGCAGCCTAGTAATAGTCAAACTGTACTCAAGACACAAAGTGTAAAATATACAGGAAATATTTTTTCCCAGTGAGGCTTTAAAGGACCACTCTAGGCACCCAGACCACTTTAGCTTAATGAAGTGGTCTGGGTGCCAGGTCCAGCTAGGGTTAACCCATTTTTTCATAAACATAGCAGTTTCAGAGAAACTGCTATGTTTATGAATGGGTTAAGCCTTCCCCCTAATCCTCTAGTAGCTGTCTCATTGACAGCCACTAGAGGCGCTTGCGTGCTTCTCACTGTGATTTTCACAGTGAGAGCACGCCAGCGTCCATAGGAAAGCATTGTAAATGCTTTCCTATGCGACCGGCTGAATGCGCGCGCAGCTCTTGCCGCGCGTGCACATTCAGCCCAGGAGGAGGAACGGAGGAGGAGAGAAGGAGGAGAGCTCCCCGCCCAGCGCTGGAAAAAGGTAAGATTTAACCCCTTTCCAGAGCCCGGCGGGAGGGGGACCCTGAGGGTGGGGGCACCCTCAGGGCACTATAGTGCCAGGAAAACGAGTATGTTTTCCTGGCACTATAGTGGTCCTTTAAGGGTTATTTCAAGTATCATAACCACTATGACCTTTTTTGTTGTAGTTGCTGTTTTGCAATGGTTTGCCCTCTTACCTAGTCCCACTAGGCTCCAATCCTCCAATAACAGCAGCTGAACCCTGTACAGCTTTTTTGCCACTCGGTTAGTGTCCACCTCAATTGCATGTGCCTTTTCCCAAAACAAGTAATATATTTCACTCCCTTGACCTTTGAAAATGAGTATAAGCATATTTAATGGCTTTCATACCAAAGTAAAGCATACACATGATTGGTGGGGGAGGGTTTAATATGAATCTAAATTGAAGTCTATTGCTATAGTACAGACAACTTAAATGTATTGGCAATCAAAATGTTTATTTATTTTTTAAGAATAATGCTACTTCAAATGGCTTTATTTTTGATTACTTTAGATTTGTTTAAAACCAATTGGTTTATGTTCTGCATGTTAGGTCTTAATACGTTTGTGTTTTTTACATTTTTTTATTATGGTTTAATTATTTTTCTTATTATCAGGTCGAATGGCACCTCCCGCTGAAGATCTTTCACCTAAGAAAGTGAAAGTTTCTATGGAAATGAAGCGTAAACTATCAGATGAAGCCGATAATAGTATTGAAGCTGTTTCTTCAACCACGAATGCTCTTAATTTAGATGTTTTAGAAACAGAGAAACAAGAATTGCCAAAGGAATCATTTTCTTCAGCTACAAGGTATCATTTATTTTTGCTGATAGGTCACTTGTGGTTATAGTATGTGATTGTGTTGAAATATAGCTTTTTAAAATTTATTTATTTTAGTTTTACTATTATATGGTAAGAAATGAAATCACAAGTGGCTGTGTAGTGTTGTGTGCAATTTTTTTTATTTTTAGAATATAGGAGCCAGAAATAAATGTCAGGAGCCAGGCACAATATTACTGTTTATTATATCATTGATTCAATGCTTTATTGGGGAGGGCTGTGTTCATGGGCGTCCGCAAGGGGGGGGCACTTGCCCCCCCCCCTGGATTTTTCAGCTTGTTCTGCTATTTTGTGTGAGATTTAAAATGAACTGCAATACCGGCGGTGTGTATGGAGAGACAGGGATAGGAAGCTGCATCTTATCCCTGCTTCTCTCTGCTGATTGAAACCGCAGAGGAGCAACACATGCAGCCAGAGACAGCCTACAGATCAGGTAAGTGGGGGATGGGGGGGAGGGTTTGAGAGGGGGGCAGCAGCCTATAGATTTGGGAGGGGGGCAGCAGCAGATAAATTTGGGGGCAGCAGCCCATAGATTTGGGCAGCAGTCTATAGATTTGGGGGGGGCAGCAGCCCATAGATTTGAGGGGGGCAGCAGCCCATAGATTTGGGGCAGCAGCCCATAGATTTGGGAGGGGGCAGCAGCAGCCTTTAGATTTGGGGGCAGCAGTTCATAGATTTGGGGCAGCAGCCCATAGATTTGGGGAGAGGGCAGCAATTCATAGATTTGGGGGAGGGGGCAGCAGCTCATAGATTTGGGCAGTACTTAGATCGCAAAGGTGCAGCCCATAGATTTGGGGCAGCACCATAGATTTGGGCAGCAGTCTATAGATTTGGGGGCAGGGGGGCAGCAGCTCATAGACGTAAAGGGCATCCCATAAAATTTGGTGGGGCAGCAGCCTTTAGACGGGGCAGCAGCCCAGATTTGGGGCAGCAAGTTCATGATTTGGAGAGGGGCAGCAGCCCATAGATTTTGGGGGGGGCAGCAGCCCATAGATTTGGGGAGGGGGGCAGCAGCCCATAGATTTGGGGGGGCAGCAGCCTATAGATATATAGAAATGAACAGGAAGGGTCAGCAATGAGCTGGAAGGTAAAGCAGCACAAAGGTAAAGTAGAAGGAGCAGAAAGAGTCAGAAATAAGCTGGAAGGGGCAGAAGGAGCACAAACATAAAGTAGGAGAATGAGCAGGAAGGGCCTGCAAGGAGCAGGAAGGAGCACAAAGGGACAGCAAGGAGGAACAAAGGTAAAGGAGCAGAAAGAATCAGAAGGAGCACAAAGGTAAAGTAGGAGAAAGAGCAGAAAGGGACAGCAAGGAGCACAAAGGTAAAGTAGAAAAGGAAGCAGAAAGGGATCAGAATGAGAAAGGAGCAAAAGGGATCAAAATTAGCAGAAAGTAGCAGAAAGGTAAAAGAGCAGAAGGGGCCAAGGATAGAAAACAGTGTCAGAAGAAAAAAAAAGACTGTCAAATGAAGGAGAGGAAAATGAGATTGGAGCAGGAAGGACAAATGAAGTGAACCCTCCACTTTATTCTAGACACCATATCATAAGGCTTTGGTACCTGGGCCAGGCAGGGAAACGCTGGACCTACTCATCTCCAAAGTTAAAAAAATATTGGTGTTAATGTGTTCACTTTTATTTACTGAGTGTCAGGAAGCACAGAGTGCCGTTGGGTAAGGGGTGTTGCTGATTGGCTAGAGCGGTCAGCTGGCACTCTAAGCCAATCAGTAGCTCCCCATTCATAAAAAAGTAAAAACATTTTATGAACTGGGAACTAGCGATTGGCTTAGAGCGTCAACTGACCACTTTAGCCAATCAGCGGCACCCATGCCTGACGTCAATCTGCACTTCCTGACACTCTGTTTCAGAAGCCAAATACCACTGAGCGACCTGGAGCTGGAGGAAGCCTTTGGGGTTAAACCATTTGAGAGCAATTTAACCCCTTAAAGGAAAACGAGCACCCAGGGGCTTCCTGGCATCATAGCATTTTCATTTAGGTGAAGTTGTTATGGTGACAAGAAATGTCCTTTAATTTGCTTAAAGGAACACTATAGTGTCAGTAATACAAACATATATTCCTGACACCATAGTTGTGAAAACGCTATTCGCCCTGGCTTTATGTGATAATGGCTATGCCCCTTCCCTTTCATGACACTGTCAAAAAGGTACCAAGCATGGATGTCATTACAATTATGCCCCCCCCTGGAAAAATTCCTGCGGACGCCCATGGCTGTGTTTGCATTGTATGACGAGGGACACCTTTGCTGGAATTGGGTAAGTGATATATTGGTAGTGTTTGTGTAGTGGCTGAAAAATATAATTTGTCCTAATAATATTTGGAAAGACTTCTATATGCTGATTGATGACTAAATAATATCGAGTTAATTTTGAAGATGTCTTTTTATACTTGCAGCTCTGAACCTTTTCACATTGCTGATATAATTGAAGATGAATCCACTTTTTTGTCTCGGTTGAACTACATATGGAAAGGATTCCTTAATATGCCTTCCGTGGCAAAGTTTGTCATCAAGGCATATCCAGTATCAGGATCATTAGAGCATCTAACTGAGGTACCTGAGCAGATTATGAAAAAAAAAAAATATCTGAAGTAACGAATACTATATACTTACATACATTATTTTGTAACACATCAGTGGGTAATGGGTTTGGGCTGTTTTTGTCAAACCTATTGAAAACTGAGAAAAGGCACTTGTAGCCTTATTGCACCAAAACTAGTATACTGTAGTAGTTATGGTGTTTTGAGTCTCTTTAATTTGTAATTGTTCTGGAACTTATTTGAGTTTATTATTGTCCATTAACCCCTAAGGACACCGCTTCAAAAGCTTGTCTTACCTTTAAAGATACAAGCCATTTCTTCATTTTTTGTGGTTTGTGTTTAACCCAGTTTGCATCTCTCGTAAACTTAGAGTTGTGGATAAAAGGCATATTGCACAGTCTGTTACTCTACATAATTCATTTTCTGCACTTTCAGAGTGTAATGGTGTTATGGAGACAGGCTCAGGTACTGAAGGTAGTTGTGTTATGGAGACAGGCACTGAGGGTAGTGGTGTTGTGGAGACAGGCTCAGGCACTGAGGGTAGTGGTGTTTTGGAGACAGGCTCAGGCACTGAGGGTAGTGGTGTTGTGGAGACAGGCTCAGGCACTGAGGGTAGTGGTGGTGTGGAGACAGGCTTGGAGACTATGGTGAGGCCTAATAGAAAGCAGTTGTTGTTGGGGTATTCCATCATAAGAGGTGTGGAGATGGACAATGGTGGTCTTGTGAGATGCCTTCCTGGAGCAACTGCTCACAGAGACAGGAGACATATTTGTAATATTATTAAGCGAGCAAAGCAGGAAGGGGAATTGGATGCACTTGTCCATCTAGGGACAAATGACTTGGCTTGCAATGAGGTTTCAGAGGTTAAGGAAGTTTTTAGTGTTTTTGCCAATGATAAATGGCAGGTTGCTTCCACACTGTCATTCTCTGCAGTTCTGTCTGTGCATAACACTCAGAACGACAGGCGGATGCGTATTAGGGACTTTAAAGGACCACTATAGTGCCAGGAAAACATACTCGTTTTCCTGGCACTATAGTGCCCTGAGGGTGCCCCCACCCTCAGGGTCCCCCTCCCGCCCGGCTCTGGAAGGGGGAAAGGGGTAAAAACTTACCTTTTTCCAGCGCTGGGCGGAGAGTTCTCCTCCTCCTCTCCTCCTCCGTTACGCCCCGCCGGCTGAATGCGCACGCGCGGCAAGAGCTGCGCGCGCATTCAGCCGGTCTCATAGGAAAGCATTTACAATGCTTTCCTATGGACGCTGGCGTGCTCTCACTGTGAAAATCACAGTGAGAAGCACGCAAGCGCCTCTAGTGGCTGTCAATGAGACAGCCACTAGAGGATTGGGGAAGGCTTAACCCATTCATAATTATAGCAGTTTCTCTGAAACTGCTATAATTATGAAAAAATGGGTTAACCCTAGAAGGACCTGGCACCCAGACCACTTCATTAAGCTGAAGTGGTCTGGGTGCCTAGAGTGGTCCTTTAACTTGTGGCTTGGTGAATGGTGTCGGGAGCAAGGATTTGGCTTTATTTCTCATGGTAGCTTTGTTTGGAATGGAAATAAACTGTACAAAAAAGATAGTTTGCATCTTTCTCAAAAGGGAACAAATGTTCTCAGTGAGCAGTTCAGAGGTTTTGCTAGGATGTATTTAAACTAGGAGGGGGGGGGGGCAAAAGGGTGATAAAACATCAATCCTATTGCCCCCCAAAACATGGACAGGAGGTGCCTTTAGCAAGTGTGTTAAAAAATGACAAGCTTAGAGTCATGTCTACAAATGCTCGCAATTTAGGAATAAGATCCATGAACTTGTGGCAATAATGGCAACTGATAATGTAGATTTAGTCGCTGTTACTGAGACATGGTATAATGAGAAAAATGACTGGGACATAGCAATACCAGCGTACTCTTTATATAGAAAAGACAGGGAAGGAAAGAAAGGGGGAGGATTGGCCCTGTATGTGAAGGATAGCATAAAATCTAGCCTAATAAAAGTTAGTGAGGCGAACATAGAGTCCGTTTGGGTTACGTTAAAATTTGGTAATAACACAGTAACTCGTGTAGGTGTGATTTATAGACTCCCCAGGACAAATAGAAGAGTTAGATAATCTACTAGTTGAGGAAATAGCTAAAATGACAATGAAGGGGGACGTTATCATCATGGGTGACCTTAATCTTCCTGATGTAAATTGGAAAACAAAATTAGCTGCTTGTGCCAGGAGCACACATATTCTAAACTCCCTACTGGGATTGTCTCTGAAACAAGTCGTTGAGGAGCCAACTCGTAAAGAAGCTATAATAGATTTAGTGTTAACAAATTTAGATTTGGTATCAGATATTACCGTAGGTGAAAGTTTAGGATCCAGTGATCATCAGTCAGTGTGGTTTAATATAAGAACAGTGACTTGAGTCACACCACACTAAAACAAAAGTTTTAGACTTTAAAAATACAGACTTTTCTAAAATTAGAATACGTGTAAAGGAGTCATTATCAGATTGGAGCAATTTAAATGGAGTCCAAGAGAAATGGGATTATTTAAAAGTTGCACTCCTGAAGGCAACTGAAAATTGCTTTAGGCTTGTCAGTAAAAGCAAAAAAATCAAGAAACCACTGTGGTACTCTGCAGATGTGGCCAAAATAGTAAAAAAATAAAAGTTAGCATTTAGTAATTATAAAAAAAACCCAGAGTGAGGAAGACAGAATGCTCTATAAGATTAGGCAGAAAGAGGCTAAGCAAGTGTGGCAAAACTAGCCACTGGAGACTATCAATGTATGCGTCTGTCTGTATTCTTTCTAAAGCTGTAGAGACAAGTGTATGATTGTAATTGCATTTCAGGCGAATGAGGGCATTCGTATGCTGGCGGCATGAAAACCCCAGCATTCATACTGTAGTTTCACGAACAGTGAGTTTCAACACTGTTTGTGAAACGAATAACCTACCGAATGGACGACCACACACAGGAGGTCGTGTGGCACCCATTAACCAATTGCAACATTGTTGCAATCTATAGTTAAGTGTGTTCCTAGGTGGCCGTCGTTCGGCTACCGTCCACGCGGCGGTCGGCCATCTTAGTTCCTTTGTTAGCCCAGCGGTGTTTGGTCGTCGAGCGCCTGGAACTAAAATCGGCTACTCGACGGTGCGAACACCGCTGGACTTCCAGGCCGTTCGGGAGCCCCGGCCATTTGGTAGGTTGTTCCCCTGATGTCAATCGGTACTTTGAGTATAACTTGAATTTAATGTGTGTTTCGTGCGGCGTTCAGTTAGTTAGGCTGGGATCTGAGCGGTATTCTCACGAACTGTGCGCTCAGACCCCAGCTATCTACCGAACGTCCATTCGTTTAAATGAAGGGAATATTATGGAAATTATGTATTTTAATGTGAAATGTAAGTTCTACTGCACGGAGGGATAATCCACTTAGCTGTATATTCTAGTGGGAGTATCCCTCTCGTGCAGCAGTGCATGGTGGGAGAAATGTATGTATTGTTCAGTTCCCCATGTAGTCCCCTACTGTGCCACCCCTGGAATGTCAGTAGGGAAACCCCTTGCATGGGGAATCCCATAAATACGGTGCCTGTAATTAAAAACCTCAGTTGACCTCCAAGCTATGTGTCGTCTAGTTCTTGGGAGGAAGGGATTGTAACTACGCCACCTGGATTTTACCTGCTTTGTACCTGCTTGATTTTGTCTACCAGCGGAGATACCGTGGATAATACTACTACTCCACTACAGCAAGTTATAAGAGCTTCCAAATCTCACACAGAAGAGAAAATAGCACAATCATTAAAAAAAGAGGACAAAACATTTTTTTGATGCATAAATGAGAAAAGGAAAGTAAATGTGTATGTAGATGAGGATAAAGGTCTAGCTGACTGCCTCAATGAATATTTGTGTTCAGTATTTACAGGGGAAAATTAAGGAAAGGGACCTCAGTTAGTAAAAAGGACAAACAAGTAATTTATTACTTATGGTTTACAGAGAAGGAGGTTCTATTTCAACTGTCAAAAGTATAGACAAATATGTCAATGGGACCTGATGGAATACACCCAAAGTTATTAAAAGAGCTTAATGGTGTACTAGCACGACCATTAACAGATTTATTTAACCAATCATTGTTAACAGGAGTAGTCCCAGAAGATTGGAAGTTAGCGAATGTTGTGCCCATTCACAAGAAAGGTAGTAGGGAGGAGGTGGGCAACTATAGGCCAGTAAGCCTTACTTCAGTAGTGGGGAAAGTAATGGAAACCATGTTAAAGGATAGGATTGTTGAACATCTACAAATACATGGATTTCAAGATCAGAGACAAAATGGATTTACTTCAGGGAGATCATGCCAAACTAATCTCATTGATTTTTTTGATTGGGTAACAAAAAAAATAGATCAGGGTGGTGCAGTAGACATTGCTTACCTAGATTTCAGTAAGGCCTTTGACACTGTTGCACATTGAAGGCTTATCAATAAATTGCAATCTTTAAGTTTGGATTCGAGTATTGTTGAATGGGTAAAGCAGTGGCTGAGTGACATGCAACAGAGGGTTGTAGTCAATGGAGTATATTTGAAGCTTGGGCTTGTCACCAGTGGGGTACCTCAGGGATCTGTACTTGGACACATTCTCTTTAATATTTTTATTAGTGATATTGCAGAAGGTCTTGATGGTAAGGTATGTCTTTTTGCTGATGATACTAAGATATGTAACAGGGTTGATGTTCCAGGAGGGATAAGCCAAATGGCAAATGATTTAGGTAAACTAGAAAAATGGTCAGAGTTGTGGCAACTGACATTTAATGTGGATAAGTGCAAGGTAATGCAAGGTAATATTATTTCTGATGACTTAAAGGTATGCAGACAATGTAATAGAGCAGCAGGAAATGCTAGCAGAATGCTTGATTGTATAGGGAGAGGTATTAGCAGTTGAAAGAGTGAAGTGCTCATGCCATTGTACAGAACACTGGTGAGACCTCACTTGGAGTATTGTACGCAGTACTGGAGACCGTATCTTTAGAAGGATATTGATACTTTAGAGAGAGTTCATAGAAGGGCTACTAAACTGGTTCATGGATTGCAGGATAAAACTTACCAGGACAGATTAAAGGATCTTAACATGTATTGCTTGGAGGAAAGTCGAGACTGGGGGGATATGATAGATACATAAAGGGAATCAACACAGTAAAGGAGGAGACAATATTTAATGGAAGAAAAACTACCACAACAAGAGGACATAGTCTTAAATTAGAGGGGCAAAGGTTTAAAAATATCAGGAAGTATTACTTTACTGAGAGGGTAGTGGATGCATAGAATAGCCTTCCAGCTGAAGTAGTAGATGTTAATACAGTGAAGGAGTTTAAGCATGCGTGGGAAAGACATAAGGCTATCATAGATATAAGAGACTAATTATTAAAAAGTATTTTAGAAAATTGGGCAGACTAGATGGGCCGAATGGTTCTTATCTGCCGTCACATTCTATGTTTCTCTCTCATTTATTGCACCAACACATATTATATATTTAGAGGGCAAAAAGGGCTTTAATTTGATGTCACATACACGTAGATACATTCTAATTAATTATATTTATAATATATATATATAAAAAGGCCAAAAAATGTGGAAAAAACATAAATATTTTTTGTTCACAGTTTTGGCAATAATAGCGTGTGCATAATATGTCCAGCTTAGGAAAAGTATTTCAAAATAAATTAATTTATGTGTCTTGATTTGTAGAGCACATAATATGTATAGGATTTCAGCTTATGGAAATCCAGCTTTGGAACAATTTTAGAAGTTGGTATGTTTGTCTTTTAAGTTTAGTAGCCATCACAGAAAACAAAATTGCCACACAAAAGTATATATTTATATAAAGTAGACATCACAGGCTATTTACTTAAGGTTATTTTGACACTTTTTACATTTCATCACCAATCTCTGCTAAATATTAGAGTAAAATTGTGGGGGGGTTTTCTCTCTATTTTGGCATATACACATATAACAAGGTTTTTGTAATGTGTATTTCGTAAAGATGGTGTGTGCTATTCCTGCACAGAACCCCATATTGTGTTCAGCTACATCTGGCACTATTCTATGAAGATACAATGTCATATAAGAGACAAGGCTATCCTATGTCTCATTTTGGGGTATTATAGCAGTTTGACTGTTCAAATAACCCCACAAAGGGCTTTCATTTGATAAAGAAGACACCCCAGGGTATTTTACATGGTGTATATTGAGCCTTAACTAGTCACCATTTTTTTTCACCAATTTATGTCAATGTTTGTAGTGAGCAAAACAAACAAAATGGAATTTTTACATTTTTGCGCAGTATTTCTTACACTTGATATCTACCACTGTCATAAAATCCCCCTAATTATGCTCAGTTACATCTTTTGAGTAAAACAATATGCCCAATGTATGACCTAGACACTTTTTTGTAAAGCTACAGTGCTGTAAAAGAGACGTGACATGTTCAGGTTTTTAAGTGTGAATTTTCATGGAGGGTTTTGATGCGTCTGTGTCCCACGTTGGAGTACTTTTGCAGGCTACATATTCCAGCTAAACCATGAAGGCATACAATTTCTTATAGTCACCTGAACAACTTCAGCTTAATGAGGTTGTTCAGGTGAGAACTATCGCTCCCTGCAGCCTTTCTTAGAAAATACAGTGTTTACATTGAAAGCTAGGAACACCTCCAGTTGCAGTCACTCAGAGTGAACCAGAGGGACTTCGGAGTTGATGGAGGCATAATATGCCTCCATCCACTCAAATCTGCTGTCAGCAGAGCACAGGGCAGCACTGTGCACAGCATCCTGTGATTCAGTATCTCCTCCCTCTGCATGCAGACACTGAACTTTCCTCATAGAGATTTATTGATTCAATTCATCTCTATGAGGAGATGCTGATTGGCCAGGGCTGTGTTTGAATCATGCTGGCTCTGCCCCTGATCTGCCTCTTTGTCAGTCTCAGCCAATCCTATTGGGAAGCACTATGATTGGATCAGGCTACCACTTCTGATGATGTCAGAAGACTGCTTGTTTTTCTGAGTCTAACAGCATGCAGATTTACAGCTTCAGGCTTGAATACAGTAAGATTTTTTCTATATTTATGGAGGCATGAGAGGTGCAGGGGGGCTAGATGGTGGTGTTAACACTACAGGGTCAGGAATACATGTTTGTGTTCCTGACCCTATAGTGATCCTTTAAAGAAGACATCCCAGGGTATTTTGAAACTTAGCATGGGATATTTTTTCTGCTAGCTTGTACCAAGTGTAATATGCATTTTTTCTTGCTTTTTGACACACAAAGTGAGTTTACACAGTATATTTTGCAAACCTTATGTATGCTACGGCTGTATAATACTTTATATGTGTCTCAGCTATGTCGTCTGAGTACAAAAATACCCCCGTATGTACCTTTGCCAGGGATACAGTGATCTGATTTATTTTTTTAGACCTCCAGAGGGTTAACTTTTATCTTTTTTTTTTAACCCTCAGGGGTTCAATTTATTTCATTGTGGATGTTGAAGGGGCACATTTGAGACACAGCCATTTTGTTTTTTTTAACTTTGAAGTTTTATGCTGTGTCCATGTTCCATTTTGGAGTAGTTTAGTTGACTTGTTATTCAAACTACCCCACAAACACATACCATTTTTTAAAGAATACCCCATTTTTTTAAAAGGCATATTTTGAACCTTAGCAAAATTATAATTTTCTCTCGAGTCTGTTGCAGGTGTAGTGGCAATGAGCATTTAATAATGTTTTTTTTTAACTTTAAAAAAAACTTTCTTTGAACTTTTTTTACTGTTAACCCCTAACTAGCAGTAAGCAGCACTAACTGGAAATTCCCCAATTTCCCATAACTCACCCACCCCAGCTAGCAAAATATATAATTAAAAATATTCAAATTAATTAATGAAATAAATTGAACCTTTGAGGATTAAAAAAATAAATAAAAGTTAACCCTCAGGAGTTATAAAAAAATAATCAGATCACTGTATAATACTCTGATCTGTATTTTGATCACTGTAGGCAGTGATCAACTGTCAGGGAAGGGGTTAATTTGTATTAGGACTGGGTAAAGGGGGTGGGTGTTTTTTGTTTTTGTTTTTGTTTTTTTACTTTTTAAAGCTTTTTTACAAACTTTTTTTACTGTTAACCCCTAGCTAGCCTAACATTAAATTCTCCAATTCCTCACTAACTCCACCCACCCCAGCTAGCTAAATATATATTTTTATAATATTTAATTCATAAAATAAATTTTAATCTCTGAGGGTTTAAAAAAAAAAAAAGTTAACCCTCAAGTGGTCTGTATTTTAATCACTATCGTCACTGTAGTGATCTGATGATTGGGAAGGGGTTCGTTTTATTAGAGATGGTTAAAGGGGGTGGTGGGATGTAACTTAAACTTTATTTTTTCACAGGGTGAAGAGGATTTAAACTGATCAGTCTCCCTGCACTTCCCACTGACCGCAGAAGCGCATGGAGGCGGACCAGGAGTCCCTGTGATCACAGCTGCAGGGGCAGAGTGATCTGGTGCCCAGGTCTGTCTCGGATACTCAGGCAGACTGGAGAAGTGGTAGCCCCGCGATTGCCGCAATCTGGGATTAGCTTTAGTAAATGGCGGAAATTTTCCGTCATGCATCCTTAACGGTAGGACAAGCATGACAGAAAATTTCCGTCTAGCGTCTGGAAGGGGTTAAACAAAGATATTATTTTGTCATTAAATGTGTTATTGTATTTAATATATATAGTGACATAAAAGAAATTCGCACACCACTAAATTTTATCTTATCTTGTATTTTATCTTACGTCTTACTTTGGAGCTTAGAAATAGATATTTTCATGCTCACTTTTCATCCTCTGAAAATATATATTATGGTCTTTATAGTCAGGCAGGGGTTACAAGAAGTGGTCTTGATCCTTGTTTGGTATGCAGGTTATGAAGCAAGTAAAAAAACTTGTTCAGTAATCATTTTGTGATAGAATGGTTCATGGTTCATGATCAGTATTGGTTCAGACCTGAAGAAGAGAGGAAAACTCTTGAAAGCTTGTCTTTGAAATATTATGTTAGACCAGGGGTAGGCAACTTACGGCACTTTGCACGGCACTCAAGGCTACAAGAGCCAAACAGGCTCTGGCCTGTCAGGAGTCCCAGTGAAACGTCAGAAATCTGCTAATATGAAAAAGTGGTGAAGGACAATCCTCCATTTATGCATTTCAGCACCTAGAGAAAGTGATCTCAGATCACTTCCTCCCAGCACTTGTGAATAGGAATCCACACTGGAGTAGAGCAGCCCACAGCTTCCTGTTGCAGCTTCTGTCCTTTAGCTGTACCTGGCCAGCCTGGACCCCACGTAAAACTTTTCATTCATTACAGACTGTAGCTGGGCGATACAACTTTTGGGAAGACCAATCAGGAGAGGGTTACAATAATCCATGCCGGAAATTACTAGAGCATAGAAAAGCTACTTGGTAGCATCTTTTATGAGAAAGGGGCGGATGCGGGCTATGCTTTTAAGTTGGGATTTACAGGATTTGGCAACAAATTGGATGTGAGGCGCAAAGGTGAGGCCAGAGTCAAGTATGATGCCAAGACAGCGTGCTTGCAAGGATGGACTTATGTGGATACCACTGACTTGAAGGGAGAGTGAGAGAGGAGGATCAGTATTAGGAGGAGGAAAGACAAGGAGTTTAATTTTAGAGAGATTGAGTTTCAGAAAGCGGGAGGACATCCAGTCAGAGATGGAAGAAAGGCAAGCAGTGACACGTTGCAGGACAGCAGGGGAGAGGTCTGGGGAGGAGAGATATATCTGAGTGTCATCAGTGTACAGGTGGTAGTGGAATATGTATCAGAGCCGCTAATTAGTCAGCTAGGATGAGCTAGACAAGCATAGTAATATCCCTGCAGTGAAATGTGCATTTGTATTACAAGAACATTTAAGTATGTAACTTGCTAATGGATAAGCTTGCTGTAGGCGATGATTATTTGTCAATTTCTTTTTGTAATTGAGGCATATTGTAATTGGTACAAAAATAAGACATATGGAGGTATATCATCAGTTGACATTTCACAAATACACCTGTGACATACATGAATATATACTCCTAAGAAATTAACCTCTTTTTTGTTTTTGAGAGGATTAAATATGCTAGGCTAGTACATGCCGTATAAGTTACTGTTAAAGGGACACTATAGTCACCTGAACAACTTCAGCTTAATGAGGTTGTTCAGGTGTGAACTATAGCTCCCAGCAGCCTTTTTCATGTAAACATTGTATTTTCGGAGAAAATACAGTGTTTACATTAGAAGATAGGAACATCTCTAGTTGCAGTCACTCAGACTGCCACCAGAGGGACTTCTGAGTTGATGAATGCACAATTTGCAATTATCTTCACGTTTGATGTCTTCACGCTTGGGTGAAGACATCAAAGGTGCAATCAGCATACAGGAGAAAGGAGGCACTGTGAACGCGCCTCCTATGTCCTGTAGTAACCCAGAGCCTGTCAGCTCGGAACCGACAGTGGGGAGATAAGATCTCCTGCACACAGCATCGGCTCAAGCTGACAGGCTGAAGATCGGAGACCGAGCAGGAGGGGAGGATCCAAACTGTAAGTAAATTTATTTTGTGACTGTGGGTGAGTGACTGAGTGAGTGTGGGTGAATGAGTTATTGTGAGTGTGACTGAGGGTGGGTAAGTGAGTGAGGGTGTGTGGGTGAATGAGGTGAGTGGTGTGTGTGATTGAGTGAGTGGGAGTGAGAGGGAAATAGATAGAGATAGATAGAAAAATATAGAAATAGATAGAAAAATCTAGAAAAAGATAGAAATAGATAGGGGAAGCTGTGTAACTTGATTGCTTCATAGGTTTGAGGGTTGGGAGAGCGGCCGCCTCTCTTGATCTCTGCATGATGTAGGCTGCAAGCTTCGGTTCGGGCAATCCAGCGGGTGATATGCTTATGTGGGGTATCCCCCGATTCACTGATGCCTGCTTAACAGGATGTGTTAGGTTTGGGTCCAAAATTAAGCGAGTGGCCCATGATTATTGATGATTATCGGGCTCAGGAGCTTACACAGTGTTTGTCTGTTCAGCTCCACAGTCAGGCTCTGCCCCCAAAACTGGCATTTCTAAGCCCTACTGATCAGTAAGTTACCTGGAGGAAAAAGAAAAAAGAATATGCTGAGAAGAAAACTCTGCCTACAGTTAAGCATGGTGGTGGCTAGATGATGCTCTGAGGCTGCTTTGCATCCTCTGGCACTGGAAACCTGCAGCATGTGGAAGACAAGATGGATTCATTGAGAAATCGGGAAATCCTAGGAGAAAATGTCATGCCGTCTGTGAGAAAGCTGAAGCTTCAGCGTCATTGGACCTTCCAACAACACAATGATCACAGGCATACCTCAGATTCCACCGAGGTTTGGAAAATTCGAAAGTGGCCATCACTTGAACTCAATATAAAATCTCTGGTGGGATTTGAACTCTTTTGCAGCACGCAAGCACAATATTACTGAACTGGAGACCATTGCCCAGGAGCAGTGGGCTAAGATTCCTCAGGAACGCTGCTGGAAACTTGTGTCTGGCTATACATCTCTTTTGCAGCAGGTCATAACAGCAAAAGGGTGCTCTACTAAGTACTAAATCTGTTTGCCATGAAGGGGTTGAATAATTTTTAGTCTGAAGACTTCATTATAAGTTGCATTTTCAGTAGAATTTTGGGAAAACAGTTGAAGCATTCGTTGAATTAAGCTATTTCAATTGCTTTTATTGAAATTGTTCATTGCAATATTGAAAATCTAAATTTTCAATGGGGGTTGAATAATTTTGATCACACACACACATTATTTCATCCCTCACATTTTTGTAAATATTTTATTCTATCTTTTCCTGTGACAACACTGAAGAAATGACACTCTGCTACAATGTAAAGTAGTAAGTGTACAGCCTGTATAACAGTGCAAATTTGCTGTCCCCTCAAAATACCTCAACACACAGCCATTAATGTCTTAAGCGTTGGCATCAAAAGTGAGTACACCTATAAGTGGAAATGTCCAAATTGGGCCCAATTAGCCATTTTCCCTCACTGGTGTCATGTGAATAGTTAGTGTTAAAAGGTCTAACTTGAGAATTTGGAGCAGGTGTGTTAAATATGGTGTTATTGCTCTCACTCTCTCTCATACTGGTCACTGGAAGTTCAACATGGCGCCTCATGGCAAAGAACTCTCAGAGGATCTGAAAAAAAGAATTGTTGCTCTACATAAAGATGGCCTAGTCTATAAGAAGATTGCCAAGACCCTGAAATTAAGCTGAAGCACGGTGGGCAAGACCATGCAGCGGTTTCAAAGGACAGGTTCCAATCAGAACAGGCCTCACCATGGCTGACCAAAGAAGTTGAGTGCACGTGCTCCGTGTCATAGCCAGAGGTTGTCTTTGGAAAATATACGTATGATTGCTGCAAAGGTTGAAGGGTTAGGGGATCAGTCTGTCACGGCTCAGACCATACGCCGCACACTGCATCAAATTGTTCTGCATGGCTGTCGTCCCAGAAGGAAGCCTCTTCTAAAGATGATGCACAAGAAAGCCCACAAACTGTTTGCTGAAGACAAGCAGACTAAGGACATGGATTACTGGATCTATGTCCTGTGGTCCGATGAGACCAAGATAAACTTATTTGGTTCAGATGGTGTTAAGCATGTGTGGCGGCAACCAGGTAAGGAGTACAAAGACAAGTGTGTATTGCTACAGTCAAGCATGTAGGTCTGGGCGTGCATGAGTGCTGCTGGCACTGGGGAACTACAGTTCATTGAGGGAACCATGAATGTCAACATGTACTGTGACATACTTGACTGGGCCGCAGGGAAGTATTCCAACATAACGACCCCAAACACACCTTCTAGACGACCACAGCCTTGCTAAAGAAGTTGGAGGTAAAGGTGATGGACTGGCCAAGCATGTCTCTAGAACTAAACCCTATTGAGCATCTGTGGGGCATGCTCAAACGATGGGTGGGAGAGCGCAAGGTCTCTAACATCCACCAGCTCTGTGATGTCGTCATGGAGGAGTGGAAGAGGACTCCAGTGGGAACCTGTGAATCTCTGGTGAACTCCATGCCCATGAAGGTTAAGGCAATGCTGGAAAATAATGGTGGACACACAAAATATTGACACTTTGGGCCCAATTTGGACATTTCCACTTAGGGGTGTACTCACTTTTGTTGCCAACGGTTTAGACATTAATGGCTGTGTGTGGTTATTTTGAGGGGACAGCAAATTTACACTGTTAATTTTGTGTGATACTGTGCATGTGTATGTATATATTGTGTGTGTGTATTTTTATTATACAGTCATGGGAAAACAAAAGTACACCCTTTTTGAATTCTGTGGTTTTACATATCAGGACATAACTATAATCTGTTCCTTAGCAGCTCTTAAAAATAGGTAAATACAACCTCAGATGAACAACACATCACTTATTACACTGCATCATGATTTATATAACAAAAATAAAGCCAAAATTGAGAAGCCATGTTTAAATTTTTTTTGTTTGTTTTTATTCAGTTGTCTGAATTTTGACATGGTCCATTGTTCTCCTTTGTAGGATTTACCTGATAGCATTCAAGTTGGGGGAAGAATTTCACCGCAGACTGTTTGGGATTATGTAGACAAAATCAAGGCATCTGGGACAAAGGTATGTGTCTAAATGTTTTTTCAAAATATAGTTAAAATGTCTGACTGTGGTGTCTTACTTGCACTCATGCAACTTGCTTGGTTTGTGATCTAAACATAAACATTCCACTATTTGGTTTGAATAAAAAGTGCATTCTCAAAAGGGAAGGTGGAGATTGCATTTTGGAAATTTAACTGAAAATAAAGACAGTGTTGGGTGCAGCTTTATAGAGCCTTAACCACTATAATTAGTTCAAATCAATCAGTATTGTAAAATGTAATAGGAGTTCATTACTATGGAGTAGCTGAGGAGAAAATACAGTGAATTTAAAGGACCACTATAGTGCCAGGAAAACATACTCGTTTTCCTGGCACTATAGTGCCCTGAGGGTGCCCCCACCCTCAGGGTCCCCCTCCCGCCCGGCTCTGGAGAGAGGAAAAGGGGTTAAACTTACCTTTTTCCAGCGCTGGGCGGAGAGCTCTCTGCCTCCTCTCCTCCTCCTCTCCTCCCCGCCGGCTGAATGCGCACGCGCGGCAAGAGCTGCGCGCACATTCAGCCGGTCGCATAGGAAAGCATTTACAATGCTTTCCTATGGACGCTGGCGTGCTCTCACTGTGAAAATCAGAGTGAGAAGCACGCAAGCGCCTCTAGTGGCTGTCATTGAGACAGCCACTAGAGGATTAGGGGGAAGGCTTAACCCATTGATAAACATAGTAGTTTCTCTGAAACTGCTATGTTTATTAAAAAATGGGTTAACCCTAGAAGGACCTGGCACCCAGACCACTTCATTAAGCTGAAGTGGTCTGGGTGCCTAGAGTGGTCCTTTAAGGAGGGGAATCATAATAGTATTAAATGTACTGTATAGAATGGTTTTAATGATATTTACAGGCAAGTACACCTTAAAAGTATTGGAGAGTTCCTTGATTAAGTAACCTTTTCTTAATGAGGAGTTACTGGTGGGTTTGGAATGTCGTTCCATAGGTGACTTAGTAAACATGATTGAGGGACGTTTTCTCTAGTTTCTCTATTTAGGAAGACTAGGAAAGGAAATGACTGTTGGAAGAAGGTAATGATAAGCCGTTGAATTTGGATTATCCTTTTATGGTTAAAATCTTCTAAGCTACAAAAGTAGAAAGAACTGTGCACAGAGTCATGAATGTAGTCCGAGGCAGATTTATTCTAGAAGAATCACCACGTTTTGGCTCACATAGGAGCCTTTATCAAGCTGATAAAGCTTAATTAAGGGCTCCTGTGTGAGCCAAAATTTAATTTGTCTCCATTATATCTTCCTTGAACTACAAGTGCTTTGTGAACAGCACTTCCTATTATTGTGTCTGTTATGGAGTGCTATGTTTGTATGTAAAATTTTCTTGTCATAAAGATTGCATTATTTTCTTTAACCCAGCTCATGAAAGCACAATTCTGGTGATTTCAACAATTAATCATACTTAAAATTATACTCTAAGCTCCCAAACAATTTTAGCTCAGTTAAGTTTTTTTGTGCGTAGGTCATGCTCCTGCAGTCTCACTGCTCAATTATTTGCCTTTTGAACAGTTAAATCACTGTTGCACTTTTTCATGCAGACCTAGCTACCCCTACCCTGGTTGTGACACACAGCCTATGTGATTTATTTTTTTTCAGTAAAATCTTACAGAGCAGTGTGCTTACTTTAGAAGTTTTTATCTCTAGGATAAAAAAAAAACATAAATTGAAAAGACTGTGCAATATAGGAAGTCTAGGCATTAGATCTCTATGTACAGGGGAATGTGTAGGGAGACTTTGTAGGTCACATGAAGGGGAGGTGCGTCTAGGGCTGCATAAACAATGTGAGTTAACTTCTAAATGACAGAGAATTGAACGGTTACACTGCAGGGGCATGGTCTATACACCAAACCCACTCTATTGAGGTAAATTTGTTGTTTTGCTTATAGTGTCCCTTTAGCAGCATGTATACTTATGTAACAGCATGCTTAATTGTTTTTTTTTTTTTGTTTTTTTTTTCTCTAGGAAACATGCCTAATTCGATTTAGTCCTGTTACAGAGGAAGACCAAATATCTTACACTTTGCTATATTCATATTTTAGCAGCAGAAAACGTTATGGTGTGGTTGCAAATAATATGCGGCAGGTGAAAGATATGTATCTCATACCATTAGGTGCCTCAGAAAAAATACCACATTTCTTTGTACCTTTTGATGGTCCTGGTAAGTTTTTTCTACATTACTAGATCTCATAATTATACCATCATGTATTAACTAGTTGTTTTGTTTTTTTTTAGCAGTGACATATGCTACATTGAACTATTGGGTGTATTTGCAACATGTTTGTCAAGCATATGGATGTAAGAATGTTTGCCAGATGTCCATAATAATCATGTACATTTTTAAGAAAAACGCGTATTCTGTAGTGGCTTCTAACGTATTCATTATTCTGACCTTATAAATATAAAATGTACTTTGGGAACCTCTACTTAAATCTAAAAACTTGGATACTCTGATTTAAATTGGCCCCTTTATTTCGAACTTAGCTTTCTTTAATTGCTTCATCTTCTCTCCCTCTCTCAGGATCAGTTCTTCATTTCTTCCCATCTGCTATAGTTTTTGTTAAAACATAAGACAAAGTAGGGACAACTCTCTTATGTACATTTCCTGCGCCTGACCAGCTCTCTGACCTACTTCCTGTGGGTCAGCTAAATTTTCCCACAATCCTCCTTTTCGCCGTGATCTCGCGATGCCTCTTTCACTATTGCCGAACATCCTGTCATTTAGACAGAACGCCGGCGAAACTACCTAATTTCATTCTAACAGAATGAGAACAGTTTTTAATTTATGTTAGAACGACATTCTGTACTTTTAGGTCAGTTCAAAAAAATTTTGAATAAATTAAATTCTGATCCTGTCCATGCTCTGGCTGCATCTTGCAGCTGCATAGTAGATAGCTCCCTAATTCCCACAGTATTAAGGAGCTATGTACTAAAAGGCTGAAAGTCTAAGATTAGTATTTTAGCCAACTTTACTAATACTAAGTAAAGATTACTTAGTATTAGTGAATAATCTGCTCCTACTCGCTATATCGTGAGTAGAGTCATGTCTACTAAACAGTGAGCAGCCGGTGGCTGCTCACTGTTGTAACAAAAAAAAAATCCCCTCCCTTCTCATTAATGGTCCAATGGTGGCATATATGGTTGTAAATAGTGAGCCTTACAGGTAACCAATCAGGTAAGGCTTACTATTTACCTATCAGAGCGCTCTCTTATTGGTTGGCTTAAACCAAACAATCAGAGCGCTCTGAGTCAAATTGCAACCCCCCCCCCCCATTTTCATTCACACAAAGACATGACACTTTGAATTTAAGCCAAATAGTTAAATCTTCATTTCATCAGACCAGAGAATCTCTTCAATGCTGTGTCTTGAGTGCAGTAGGCAGTTCCTTTGATATTGTGGCTTCTTCAAACTGCTGTAACATCAAAATTAAAAAAGGCTTATTTCTTAATTTGATCTACTTATTGGTTAACTCCGTAATATGCTCTCCTTAGGGATTGCCATAAGGATATCAATTACGAAATGAGAGAGCTATCTGCTAAACAGCACCCCTAAGGAATCACTCCAGACCCATAGGTCACTTCAACTAACTGAAGTGCTTTATTTGTGAAGAGGATGTCCTATTGTTTGTTTGTTTGTTTATTATTTTGCAAAATAATGCCGATTTTTAGAAATTATTACTTTTATAAATTAACCCTGTTAAATCCCATATTTCCAAAGCTTCAACTATAAAGCTCCTCTATGTCCCAAACATATGAAAAAAGTATAAGAAGATATTCTGGTGTCCTGAGCATTAAATTGCTCAAGAAAATATGAGTGTAACTAACCTATTTTTCACTCAATTGCTTGTATTTATATACTTCATTATGTCGTACAAGAGAGGGGCACTAAAAATATGTTAGGAAGCTAATAACATTATGGTTCAACATTTTATTTCAGTTTCAGTTGGGCTTATTTAATTACTTAAATTATGTAGTTTTGTATAATTTTTTTTTTTTTTTAGATTTAAGTTTTACAGCAGATAAAGAATAGTTAGCTGATTGCAGCAATTGACAGTGTAACAATACATATCTAGTTGACCCATAGTTATAACATTTGTGACAATTGCATATGAAATATCACACTTTCACATTAGAATAAATATCATCAAAGTGCCGATGACTAAATTGGGGTTAGGTTCTCCAATGTTTATCTAAACCTTTCTTTTGTTTTTTTAAAGTAATACTTTTTTCTTAAATAGCTTGTAGTTGCACTATTCTAATTTCACATGTTCTCTTTTCAATAGGACTTGAAGTGCATCGACCAAATCTGTTATTGGCTTTGATAATTCGTCAAAAAGTGAAACGACAGCATAGTCTTAATCTTGATGATGAACCACCTGGAGCGTTAATTAACGTTCCTTCAGAGAAAAAGAGTAGAATTGAAATTGCTGAGGAAGACGATGAGGAAGATGATGAAAATGATTTTTTTAATTCTTTTACAGCTGTTTTACATAAAAATAGAAATAGAGCACCACTTTCAGATAGTGATGAACCTCAAACCACTATTGAACCTGTACCAGAAATAGCACAGCGTGATCCACCAAAGCCTCTGCGGTTTCTTCCTGGAGTGTTAGTGGGGTGGGAAAATCCACAAACAACTCTAGACTTGGCAAACAAACCCTTACCTGTAGATGATATATTGCAAAGTCTTTTGGGGACTACAGAAAATATATTTGTACATAAACAGTCAGTCAAAAATGTATTTAGTCCTAATTCATTAATGGATGATACAATAAACATGGAGGGGAATATATCTTCTGCAGAAGTGGACACATTTGTGGAAAGTAAAACACCTGAGAACAATGAAGAAAATACAGCAACACCTGCTTCAGTTACTCCATCACCATCTGGAGCTTTGAGACTTTCTCTTAAAGGCAAACCCCCAGATGTCTCCACCGAGGCTTTTTTAGAAAACCTAAATGTTCCTTCAAGTGAAGAAAGAATTGATAATGTTGTGTTCGATGACCATGCTGATGAAAGTGGCAGGGCAGCTGACACTTGCGTTTCTCTACTACATGTAAATAAAGCTAGTATTAAGGACGATAAAACAACCACAGAAAATATATCAAATTCGCCAAAATCTCCAAAGCTTTTGCATATTAAAAGGGATCCAAGACAAGCTGCAGTAAAAACCCATAAAACTGGGTCAGATATCAAAGAGCATGAGAGCAATAACAAAGAAGAAAAGACACATAAAGAAAAAGACTCTCTTGAAAAACAATCCCAGCATAAAAAAGATAAAATAAAGAAACTTTCCTATGAGGAAAATGATTTGCTTGCATGTAAGAATGAGAAATCTAAAGGTGAACCGCAGTTTTTGTCACCTACACAATTGGAAAATACTGAAAAGTCAAAACCAAATGATGTTAAACCTTTCACTCAAGATCTTTTGATTGATGAAACTGATCCTCTACAGCAATTCAGGAGAGCTCTCGCTGCAAATAAATCTCAGTCATCAAATGCACCCGCTTCAGAAACTCATTCCAAGAATCCTGCCTCAGCCTTTGGTGGTAATTTTTCAGCTATAAGGTTGCAACAGCCTCCATTCCTTCCACTAAAGACCAATCCGCCTGCATTTCCATTTCAGCATACTCCCAGTTTTCCATTGCAAGGCAGTACTGTTTTTCCCTACACAACTCAAATACCACCTTTGCTTCCTACTCCATTAGGTATTGGATTTCCAAGACCACCTAGGTTTCCTACTGCAGAAACCAGCATACACAATCCATTGGTAACTTGGCATCCAGCTCTTCAGCTATCTAGACAGCCACCACATTATTTGGGACAAATTACACCAGGACCTCTTTTAGGTCCTGAACAAATGCGATATCAAGGGCCTCAAAAGTTCTATCATAGAGACCATAGGGGACCAGAAAGGCGTCACAGTGATCCTTGGGACAAAGCAGACCGTATATTAGACAGGTCACTTACTCGGGGAAGTCGAGAACATAGACAGCGGTTTTACAGTGAGTCACATCACTCAAGGGAAAAGAGGCAACATGAAAAGGAATCTGATAAGCATGGTGACAAGGACTGTGAAAGAAGTCGACGTAGGGAGAGAGACAAAGACAGAAGTCACGATAGAGACCGTAAAAGCCGTGATGAGTCGCACAGAGATAAAGAAAGATCCCGATCTTCCCATAGTGACAAGAGTTCTGAAAGCAAATCACACAAAGAAGGAAGAAATTTGGATAAATCTAAAACTGAGGATCGAGTGCATGATAAAGAAAAAAACAGAAACAGAGACAGGGAAGAGGACCGAGAGAGAGATCGGCACCATAGGGACAAGGACCACAGTGATAAATCCAAAAGTAAAAGATAAAAACATTTTCTTGTTTCTTGGGTTGTGCCATCTTTTTGTAATATGTTAATTTTTCTGACATTTTAACACAAAAAAGAATTGTGAAGAATGCTGTTCAATCCTCACTGAAATTAAGATATTTTATAAGTGTTTTACACCACTGTATATTAAAGAATACAAACTATTAATTTCTGAATATGCAATAAGCTTAAGATATTTGTTCAGAAGTTTTAACTAGAATGCAACTGTTTGAATGTTTTATTGTGCATTTGAAGACCCAATTAACGTTTAAATTCTTAAAACCCTCTATATAACATTATTATTTTTTAATTGCACTGTTTTTAAAATGCTGAGCAGCTTCCGGATCTACAAGTTGTTGAAAATAGAATATTACATTTGTGCTGTATAAAAGCTTTTTTTACTTTTTGCTAAGTTTCAGTGGATCTGTTAATTTCCATAAACATCTGCGTTGATCAGTTCGATTCAGTTTGGTTTCTATAGCTTTGAAATGCACTTGCCATAGGGGAATATATATTTTAATCTCATGCTTACCTTTTTAGTAAGTTAATTTTAGAAATTTTGTTTTGTGCTTTAAATACTTGAAATCTCAGCTTGTACATTCTTGTGTTTTTGCTATTTTTTATACTGTAAAATGTAAATATTTTAAGGAATATTTTGATTCTAAAGATGAAAAATTTACATATTTTGGTTCATTCCTATGTGAAAATTGTGTTTAAACCATGTTTAAAACTAGAGCCTGTAGTATTTTCTTGAGCTTGCATTATACATTTTGGCTATTGTTTTACTCTCTCTCTCTCTCTCTCTTTTTTATTTGCCAGTTGTAATATATCAGATGTGGCATCAAATGCAGTGAAGTCAACATATTAAAGTATTTTGTCATGGAACAATGTCCAAGATGCTATTTGTAACATGCTAATTTTATTAAAAGGAAATATTAGATGTGTAAAGTTGCTTAGAAATAATCACACACTGATTTGTGCTCACTGGTTAACACTTTTAAAGCTCTTTATCTGTAGATTATATTAATTTTAATAAACTCTTGCTCCTGCTTAGTGGAGGGATCGGTTTCACAGTTATCCCAAGTTATAAGTATATACAAAAAATAAATGGTTACATGACACACAGTACATAACCTTTTGTATACATTAATACACAGAATAGATAAAACTGTTGTATTGATTAACATTTACAACATTTGGCCTGATATGGTATTATTGTATAGTGGATCTTCAAAGGCCACCTCAATGCTTGCAAATGTATTACGCATTGTTAAAGGGACACTCATGGCTGAAGTTAGTCAACCCCACCACCCAATGTAATCTATAGAAAATATGTTAAGAAATTAAAACTAAATTATACTTTCAGAGTTCCTATGTGCTTCAAATTCATAGATTTTGCACCTTCTGGATTGAGCTTTCAGGATTATCAGAAATGTCTGAATAGCTATAGGTGAGTTCAGGTTTTTCCACAGCTTTTTATTAGAGCATTGCATATAGCAAAGGAGGGGTTCATATTATAAGCTTTCTACTGAAAGTGTCTGTAGTTAACTTCATTCATTCAACTCCAAATATTAAGCTATTTGTGCAAAGAAATTGAATCCAGGAAGAAGAAAACTTAATTCATTTAGGAATAAAGCTAAATGCAAATAGGTCAGCCGTAGGCTTACAGCATTTTACTGAAATGTGCACAGCTTACTTACACACCCAATTGCAGATACCAAAAAACATGAATGATACAATTAGCCTGTGTTTTTGTAAATGAAACCTGTTGTAGCCACACATGCTAAAATCTTTGAGAGAAATTGCATTACACACATATGAAGTCACATAATATCACATTATGAAAGAAAATACTGCTAATATAGAAGGGACAGACAAGATGGAGACACACAGTTTATCAATTTTTTTTAAAACAAAACTTAAAAGTCCATTCTTACCTATAAATTCCCCATGTCTTGCATTTGTGTATGGTGTTTCCTTTTTAAATTTTGCCTTTTTTTTTTCCTTTGGTATACTGATGCTTAATCCCTCACTCAAATATAGTAATTTACATTTTTAATACATATATGGTGGAACAAAGATACATAACTTTAAAGATTACTTGTCATAGTACACGTTTTATTAAATTTTATAGCACATTAAATTATATTGATATATTGTGCTAGCAAATGTAGAGATTGGGAAAAAAATACATTTAAAAATAGGTCACTCGCATACCTACCAATCAATTCGTCAGCATAGTTCTATATGCGAAAAAATAAATTGGTAGGTTGACAATGAGAGACCTCCTCCAGGTACGGTGCATACGTTGTGATTACTATGGTTACTTCCTAGCCAGCGCTTCTGCACATCACTCCATTCAGATGTCGGTTCCCTGGCAATTAATCTAGTGTCATGGAGGAGAATTGATTCTGCTTGGGGACACTTCCCGAAGCAGGGCAATCTGTTTACAGGACAAAGGAGTGACCAGAAATGGACACCCACTGACCTGTGCACAAGGTGGCTCTAAAGAGAAGTGTGTGTTTTATCTAAAAATCTAAAAACTTTACATTGAAGATATGTTTTTATATTCACAGTTTATGAGGGAGATTTCCGTTGAATAGAACCTGCTATAACATGTTCACTTTTACTTTACAATGTCAACACATAAAACAACCAAAGACATTTAAATTACTGTATCTAACTGTTATTTGGATAATGCATTGGTTAATCCTTTATTTTATTGAAGCACTGTAAATGCCATCAAATAAGAATTCTAAAGCCTATATATCTATCTTCACAGAGACAGTTTTGAACTATTTGTTCAGAAATGAATGTGATTTTTGTGAAATTTGATGACATGCCATTTCCTACAGCAGTGATTTATTATTTTTTAATCTTTCCCCCATAAGAATCTTACATTTGTATTAGTGATTGTTTCGTTTGACTGTGATCTGAAAACATTGTTCAAATAAAAAAAAACTGTATTTTAAACTTACTGCAACAGCTGCCTATGAAAAACAAATGATAACTAATAAACATTAAAATATTTCCTAACAGTACAGTGTATATACAGAAATATATTTGTGTTATATGAATTCCTAATACATTTCTACATATATTGTCAAAAAAAAGGTCCCGCTCTTTTAAATAGCGGTGCAGTTCCATAACATGATATTTTGTGCAGTAGATGTTTGAGAGTTTTATATTGATTTTATTAGCTGCTCATGGTTTGTTGTGCTAAGATGTCCTTAACCCCCTAAGGACCCATGACATGTGTGACATGCCATGATTCCCTTTTATTCCCGAAGTTTGGTCCTTAAGGGGTTAAACGTCAATTGTTGACATGTTCAGTTGACAACTTCCCAACCCAAGCGCATAATGTCAAATTTATTTGTAGTGTAATGTTTATATTGAAAGATACTTAATACATAATTTCTATTAAAACATTTTAAGTAATGAAATCTTGATAAGACTCTTCTCTCCATGTCACAACAATGACTTTCTTTTTAACTTTTTTCCCATGAAATTGCATGTCTTAAAAGGAACACTCCCAAAACCATAACCAGTACAGGGCACTGTAGTGGTTATGTTACCAGGAGTGGCATGGTGCCTCCCCGCACCAAAGGGTAAGTAGTCAAACCAGGACTTAAAATGTCAAGTCCTTCACTACTAGTCACACTTAAAAAGTTACTTGCCACTGCAAGCCTGGATGGTCTATGGCACACTAACCAACAGTGTATTTTCTACTCACCCGTGCTGAATTTTCTATCCCCTATGGCTGGTGGCCAGTAGAAATTTTGAGAACTGGTCAAATCATTTGCTAACCGTTTGCATCCTTACCTGGGGTTTTCCAGACAATAAACACTTCCTTCTAGAATCTCAGAGCCAACTTATTTGCTGAGTGGCAGCTGATCTCTCAGCCAGTGAGCTAAGCCCTGCACCATGCACCACTGGGCTGAGCACAGTGAAGAGAGCTTAAGGCTGTCAGAGAAGTAGTGATTGGTGCCCTGCAGACCTCAGAGAAGAAGTCAAACTATTGGCAAAACAGTTTGCTTATACTGGAGAGGTGCCATGGCACCAATAGCCACTTCAGTGTACTGTACTGGTTATGATGCCTAGAGTGTTACTTTAAATGATAACTCGCCCCCAAAAATTAATTATCCTGTGTTTTGAAACATATTATGGAAGTACATTGACAATGTTGCTAAAGATTGCACCAAACGTGTCTCTGACCCCTTATTGCTGGTTCTGTTGGATTCCACATTTGACTGTTGTATGATTGGTCAGTCAATCTTTGTATTCTGCCCCCCAACTATAGTGTCTGAACTCCTCCCTTCAACCCCACAACAGTATAACTCTACATCCCCAGCCTTCCACTATCTGCTTTCCTCCCCTCTTTCCAAGACCAAACCCCCAGTTAATGAGCTCTGCCTGCTAGGCTCTGCTACTCTGTGTGTCTACTCCAGTTACAAGCATCATAGTCCGAGCGGTCTGGCTAATAATGGGATTTGAGAAAGGTTTGGAGCAATTTAATACAATTTTCAATATAATGGATTTAAAAGTTTTCTTTTAAAAAGCAATATTTAAAAAAAAAATCATTTTTTTGTAAAGTTTTTTTTTTTGTGTGTCCATTATCCTTTACTGTAGTAAGGTAAAGGGATACTCTAAGTTTCCCTTTAACACAAGTGTGATCAAATATTTTTATATAAATTTATTTGGTTTTATTTTTTGTCTTGAGTGGGTTTTTTTTTTATTTTAAAACATTTGTACTTCTCTTTTCTGCAATCAGAAAAAGTGCAGCTAGTACATTCCTTTGTAGATGACAGCTCCAGGTCATCATTAATGCATTAATGTAGTAACACAAAGGTCAGAAAAAATTATTACTTTATAAACAGCCTAGATTAACACGAAGATAGAAGCTCAATATCTTTTAAATATATACAATATATATAAAACCATAAAATGTGCACAGTAAAACTTTAATGCTTTGTTGATTAATGCAATAGTGTATAATAACAATTATGGTTAAGTGTTATAGAAACATTCTGAATGGTATAAACACTTTATATTTTCACTGCCATTTAAAAAATATATATATAATTTATGATGACGTTATCAAAATATAATTTGAGAATTATAGTGCATATACAAACTCTACAAAGCGTTAAAGGATCACTCTGGCCACCAACATAAGTACTTTTGATAGTTTATGGCCTCATATTCATGGCTATACATAAATTAATTTATTAAACTATATTGTTAGTCTACTCGATTCTGAGGACATACTTGGTTTCTGAGCTAGGGCATTTGTGCCCATCCTATATTCCCGTTCTTTCTACTTTTAACAGCTTTCTGGCCTGCATGCAGTTCAAGCTGAGGGTGACTTCCTTTAATTACAGTGGGCTAAAAAAACAAAAAGTAGGTGGTTTGCACTCCTCATACATATCTATGGACCTCTATTCTTGAAGGGAATTTTGTGTATATTAGCCACATTTTCACAGATCATCCTGCTGGTGGAAGAAGTTTTGGACACTCTGATCAGATTATTTTAGTGATTTTACCCAATGATTAGATTCTTTTAGTGATTTTACCCAATGTGATAGACTTACCAGTAGAACACCAAGACCAAGAAAAAGCTGAAAGTGCTAGTTCATGCTCCCAGTCCTGCCAATGTATTCCAGCTACGCTCTTAGTTGGGTTTGCTCAATTGTCAGAAATGCTCACCGAACTTAGCTAAATTACAATATCCACTACACTGTTAGATAATAAACACTTTGCCTAGAATGAATTGTGTGCAAAGGCATATAAACTATCTAGGCAACAAACATGTTGTGGGATCAAGACTCCTTGTCCACTATGACCTTAAGAATACTTTGGTACAAGCCTGTGATGCTTTGCCATGTAGCTTGGGCACAGTGCTTTCACCTGACCTTCAGCCATATTTTACAAACAAGTTTGTTTCCCTAACACTAAAGTGGTCCTTTAAGGCTGAATGATTAGCTGACTGAAATTTCAGTGATCCAGGGTCTCAGTGATATATGGGGACAGTTACGCACACAAGGTAATAACACAGAACTGAATGTTATCATCGTGACTACACAGGAAACATAACAGTAATCTTCATAACTATGATTTAAAACAAGTGCTCCTGTAGAAAACAAATTAATATTATTAGAAGGAAAAGGAAGCTTCAAATATATTAAAAGTAAAACATTTGTGAACCCCAAATAATTTGTAGAAAATAAGAGAAAAGGGAAACAGTAAGGATTATTTTGGCACAGATATTCCATTAAATATGAGCCAATGGGAAAAATGCCAGTAAATCTGCCTAAAATGTAAAGGCAAAACTTTTTATACATAACTCCACATGCTTTTTGTTTGATGAAAAGTGTTCTAGGGTTATTCACGAAAGTTATAGTTCAAAGTGAATATATATAGTTTTAAGCCAATATAGAAAAAGTGGCTATTCTCCAAGTCAATGATGCCTCCATTTTGGATATTTTGACCTTAAAGGAACACACCACTGCCAAAATACAATACACATCACTTACTGTTTAGCAGATATGCCCCCAATGAAAAGATCAATGCAGTTAATTTTCCCATTGAAAGTACAGATGATACTCGAAAAATTAGAATATTGTGCAAAAGTTCATTTATTTCAGTAATGCAATGTAAAAGGGGAAACTTATATAGGAGATAGATGCATTACATGCAAAGCAAGATAGTTCAAGCTGTGATTTGTCATAAGTGAGATGATTATGGTTTACAGCTCATGAAAACCCCAAATCCACAATCTCAGTAATTTAGAATATTACATGCAATCAATAAAACAAGGCGTGTACATAGAACAATATCGGACCTCTGAAAAGTATAAACATGCATATGGACTCAGTACTTGGTTTGGGCCCCTTTTGCAGCAATTACTGCCTCAATGCGGCGTGGCATGGAAGCTATCAACCTGTGGCACTGCTAAGGTGTTATGGAAGACCAGGATGTTTTAATAGCGGCCTTCAGCTCTTCTGCATTGTTCGGTCTCATGTCTCTCATCTTTCTCTTGGCAATGCCAGGTCAGGCGAGTTTGCTGGCCAATCAAGCACAGTAATCCCACGGTCATTGAACCAAGTGCCTTTGGCAGTGTGGGCAGGTGCCAAGTCCTGCTGGAAAATGAAGTCAGCATCCCCATAAAGCTTGTCTGCGGAAGGAAGAATTAAGTGCTCCAAAATCTCCTGGTAGACGGCTGCGTTAACCCTGTAGACCAACACCAGCAGATGACATGGCTCCCCAAATCAACACAGACTGTGGAAACATCACACTGGACTTCAAGCATCTTGCAGTGAGCGCCTCTCCATTCTTCAAAAGTTGCTCTTATCAGAAAAGAGGACTTTGGACCACTGAGCAATAGGCCAGGTCTGTTTTTCTTTAGCCTAGGTAAGACGCTTCTGACATTGTTTGTTGTTCAGGAGCGGCTTAACAAGAGGAATACGACATCTGAAACCCATGTCCAGGATCCGTCTATGTGTGGTGGTTCTTGATGCACTGACTCCAGCCTCAGACCACGCCTTGTAAAAGTCCACAAAACTTTTGAATGGCCTTTTCCTGACAATCCTCTCCAGGCTGTGGTCATCCCTGCTGCTTGTGCACCTTTTTCTTCCACACTTTTCCCTTCCACATAACTTTCTATTAATGTGCTTTGATACAGCACTTTGGGAACATCCAACTTCCTTCGCAATTACCTTTTGAGGTTTTCCTCCTTAGGGAGGGTGTAAATGATGGTTTTCTGCACAACTGTCAGGTCAGCAGTTTTCCTCATGATTGTGATTCCTACTGAACCAGACTGAGAGACCCTTTAAAGGCTCAGAAACCCTTTGCAGGTGTTATTGCTTACTTAGCTGATTAGAGTGGAACACTGTGAGCCTAGAATATTGCACCTTTTCACAATATTCTAATTAACTGAGATTGTGGATTTGGGGTTTTCATGAGCTGTAAGCCATAATCATCGCACTTATGACAAATCACGGCTTGAACTATCTTGCTTTCTATGTAATGCATCTATCTCATATATTAATTTCCCCTTTTACGTTGCATTACTGAAATAAATAAACTTTTGCATGATATTCTAATTTTTTGAGTGTCACCTTTAAATCTGAAAAATGTTTCCAAAAGCTGCAGATATCTGCAGCCTTTGGAAGCCCTCCCTTTACAAACCAGCCCAGTGTTTGTGTGGCTGTCCAATTACACACTCAATGCAGCTCAATGAAAAGTCTTTGCACTGAGTAAAACAATCAGGAAGTAACAAGACCAGTTGTCTGATTAATAGTTAGAGTGGTGTAACAATGTTTATTTCTAAAAGTGCCAATTTCTATTGAAATGTTCACTTCTTTTTTAAAAATTAAAAAAGAATGAGTACTTTAGGGGTCTAAAGTGCCCCTTTAAATTTGAAATATACTTTGAATTCATTACAATACTGACCTCAGTTAATAACCATGTACAGGAAAATTGCTATTCAGTAAACAGATTGAACCATAAATCTGATAAGAAAATCCAGCTCAAAATGCTGATGTGTCAGTACTTCATGCAAAATAAAAATAGATTATAAAATTATTTCTCTTCTATCTCTCCATCGTCCCTTCCTTTTCAGTTTTAATATTACAGTCAATATGCATGATATACACTGATCAACTAAAACATTAAAACCACTTGCCTAATACCAAATAGGTCTCCCTTGTGCGGCCAACACAGCTCTGATGCATTGAGGCAATGAATGTGTCCTGTGGTATCTGACACCAAGACATTAGTAACAGATCTTTTAACCCCTTAAGGACGGAGCCAAATGTACACGTTGTGAACAAAACAAAATGTAAACAAAACCTGGCATTTGCGCTACATGTCTGTCCAACCGTAATTCACTTCTTTCATAGTAAATGCACCCACCCTTATTATATATCATTTTATTCAGGGGAAACAGGGCTTTCATT